GCTATAATTTACGAAATACCACGTAATGCTCAGGAGTTGACTTTGTGTATGTACATTGCAAAATTATGGGCAAGTGTATCATACTTAAAAATCCAGATGTGTTTAAAATGTAACGTTCAAACAAGTGATATATTGACACATTTATGTTTAGAATGTCCATCTAACAACAATGAAAGATCACACTTTTTTGATCAACTCAATTCCATTGTAAATATCAATATTATACAAGACATACATAATCTTTCAAATCCTTTAAAACTTGACGCTATGATGGGATCTCTTCTTTTAAACACATGTGCAATAAACCCAAACGAGTACCACTCCTTTTTATTCCAGTCGTTTGCTTATATAAAACTTGTTGTAGGCAACAAGTTTACTGTCAGAGAAACTAACTGAAATATATTTCACAAATTGTGTCATATCAAACAATAAGCGTACCTAGATGTTAATCCATTTTTTAGTGTTTTTGTTTTCGTTTCGTTAAAGCACTAATTTTAAATGGAATTCTAGACAATAAATTATATATATAAATATATATATTTATCACATGCAGCATCTTTTGTTACAAATGTAAATATGTATAAATTATATTATGATGCATATAAATTTATGTGCTTAACCTATGTTTACACCATGACCTATATTTTCTATGTTGAATTATTGTATAACTTGTAATGATTGTGATTGTACATTTATATATATATATGTTTTTTTTCTTCTATTATGTTAAAATCTATGAAAATGGGAAATAAAGTGTAATAAAAAAAATAAATAGTGCAAATATGAAATAAAGTGATTTCTGTTTCCTTATTTGTTGTTCGTATAATTGTATAAGTAATATTGAACAAAAATTAATAATGTGCTAATTGTTATAGTTAATAAGCTTTTATTACATTATAAACAACATGTTTCCACAGATATCCATTAAACTGATAATTTATCGAGATCGATATGCCCCAAGGTCATATTAAAATCGATTTCACACGCGACGTGTCATTCTTGATTTATCTATGACAAAATACAATAAACAGTCAAAAATATGCTGACCATATTGTAGAATCTGCTGAAAAGTTAGATATATAGAGAAAAATATATTTAAATGCTACGAAATTGTTACTCATTATGCAAATTTAATATATTTTATAAAATAATGTCGACATTTAATTAAGTAAAAACACTGCTGACCAATTTAATGTTAATTCAAATTGATTTAAGCCGTAAAACTCTCTTATTCTATATGGTCAGCAAATTTAACGCTCTTTACATTCAGGCGAGAAAATGCTGACCAGTTAAACATATATAGTAGAATCTGCTGACCAGTTAGATATATAGGGAAACTGCTGACCAGTTAGATATATAGAGAAAAATATATTTTGCCGTGAAATTGTAATTCATTTTTATTATGTATGCAAATTCAATTTATTTTATAAAATTATGTCGACATTTAATTAAGTAAAAACACTGCTGACCAATTTAATGTTATTTCAAATTGATTTAAGCCGTAAAACTCTTCTTATTCTATATGGTTAGCAAATTTAACGCTCTTTACATTCAGGCGAGAAAATGCTGACCAGTTAAACATATACACATGTAGTAGAATCTGCTGACCAGTTAGATATATAGGGAAACTGCTGACCAGTTAGAAATATAGAAAAAAATATATTTTGTCGTGGAATTTTAATTCATTTTATAAAGTACGAAATTCAATATATTGTATAAAATTTTGTCGACATTTAATTAAGTTAAAACACTGCTGACTTATTTAATATTAATTCAAATTGCAATTATTGCTTTTGAAAATACATTTTTTTTCCGTTACAAGATTTTTCTATTGAAATATCACTAACAAGAGATTTTGATAAAACTCATAACATCATAATTCTTTATAAAACATTAATTCAAATTTTTGCATATCTTTAGAGGTATAAAAAGCTGTTTAATATATCCTTTTAAAATCACGGATTTATATTACATGTAGTAATGTAAATCCGTGTTAAAATGTATGATATTATGGTACTTTAAATGTATATATTAATTTAGTTTATAAACATAGTCATATAAATGCAAAAATTAAAAATATAATTAAAAGAATAAAAGTAATTTCCCATCTTTTTATTACCCCCTACGGCGTGTTTATATAACTTCACACCTTCAATGTTTCCCTTCTTTGTGTAACTGGTCAGCATTTTCCGATAATCCTTCTTTATTTAACTGGTCAGCAGTTTCCTATATATCTATATCGTCAGCTAATTCGTCAGCAGTTTAGTGCGACCCCTTCCATGATCGCACCGTTTGTCGGTGAGTAAGTAAATTCTGACCAAGCACCGGTAGACGCACGACAATGCGATACGATATTATTCCAAATGTCGCTTCGCATTGTCGAGTGTCGCTTCGCGTTGTCGAGTATCGCTTCGCGTTGTCGAGTGTCGCTTCGCATTGTCGAGTGTCGCTTCGCAATGTTGAGCGTCGCGGTGTAAAATCATAAAAATAACGCGACATTTACTCGACATTTTAAAAATGTCGCTTTGCGATGTCGAGTGTCACTTCGCATTGTCGAGCGTCGTATCGCATTGTCGCGTTGTCTTTTCGCATTGTCGAGTGTCGTGGTATGCACTTCTACCAACCTCGACACTCGACAATGCGAAGTGACAATGCGACAACGCGAAGTGACATCGCGACAACGCGAAGTGACATCGCGACAACGCGAAGCGACGCTCGACAATGCGAAGCGACACTCGACAACGCGAAGCGACATTTCTTAAATGTCGCCCTTTTTTACCGCGACATTTATAGGCGACAGTGCGACATATCGTTTGACACTGCCGAGCGTCGCTTCGCATTGTCGCATATCGCTTCGCGTTGTCGAGCGTCGCTTCGCATTGTCGCGATGTCACTTCGCATTGTCGTGTGTCTACCCTTAGACGCGACGGACGACATTCTAAATGGCACGATAAGGACACCGTAAATAACAGAATATAACGTGGTTTTTATACAGATGTTCTGTGCGGCCTAGTTTTACATAATTATATTAAACGTTAACTGTAAGCTTACCACAAATTCACTGCTTTAACGAGCGTTCAGGCCGCCATTTTTGAGCCCATTGTACGAATTTGGTCACGGGATCCTCCGCAGTGATAAAGGGAATGGCTTAAAACTTCACACAATTGAGAGAATAGTAGGAGACCACTGTCCAAGGCCCAGAACTCTATAACGTGGATGTTGATAAAATAATGGTCCTTTTGGAACTTTTTCGGAAACTTCTACATTATACAGGCTCGTTTTAAACTATCAAGCCCTGAGAATAGTCAAGCAAGCAGACGTATCGACAGTGGTAGACATTTTCTTTAATTCTATGCATGTTATAAAAGATATAGACAAAATTCAAGAAAATACATTATTTCGGTTCATGAATACCTTGAGCAGGTTATATCTACAATACATTCTCATCTGAATATGGCCATAAGCAAAAGACACGAGGAAGATTTTTGTCATTCCTATTGGCATTCTGTTTAATTTAATAAAGCAAATATTCTGGACGGCCATGTATTAATCCAGGGGTGTCCGTACCCGAGTGTTTAAGGCCGTTGACTTCAAACCCCTTGCCCCTCAACGCTGTGGGTTCAAATCCAAACATATACTTTTGATTCTTTCATGTGGGGAAGCTGTACAGCTAGCTTACGGAATGTCGGACGTTCTACTAAAGTCTCCTTTCACCAGTAAAGCAGAAAAGTCGGCATAAGACCTACATTCTGTCGGATCGACGTAAAACCCAATCAAAACAATAAACAAGTCTCCCTCCACCAGTAAAGCTGGAAAGTATCCATATATGACCTATAATTCGTATGATTTAGAGGAATGTCAACTTTACAAATGAAATGAGAAGCATACGTTGTTCGTTTTAATATAATTTATGTTAGCTTTTTTTTAGTGAACTTTTAACAAGTAGGAACCCAAAAGAAAGGAGCGACAGTGGTTTCTTTATTGTAAAATGTTCACAAACTTACTAAGTGTTTAACCACATTTGACCCCGCTGGAACGCTTCCGGCCTACAGAAAGTTGTTATGTATGGTGGCCGATTACGGTCTTTTTAAACCCGAGAGGAATTTTTATCATAAAATAACATAGCAACATACAACCCTGCGAGATTCTCTGCCGAAATCGTACAAAATGTCGCAGCAGTTGTTTGAAACAGCATGTGGCCGGTAGCGTCCATGGGTTGACTATACAATTCATCCCTCGTTTGTCTATAAAAAGTCGGGTAACAAACAAGAGGAAACCCGAAATATTTTTGCAAGTGTTGTAGAAATTCTACAAAAAGTCGAAGGGAAAAATTATAGGCCGCGGCTTTTTGTTCCTCATCAACGATCTCAATAATAGCTGCGATATTTGGCGCAGAGACATTTCCCGGCACAAAATAATTGAGGCTTATAATGCTCAAAAATGTATGCATCAAAACAAAATATCGCGGATTATAATAGCCGCGATCGGCATAATTATGCTTGCGTGGCTTATTCCATTTTGCCTTTCTTGTGCCTATGTGCATTAATTGATAAATGTTTTGAATGACAATCATCACCGTTGCGTGATATACACATGTTAGTTAAAATGGCTCAAATGTTGTTTTTTGTTTTTGTTTTTTTTCTCCATGGAATTATACACAAAATGACCCCGCCAAAAAAGCAGTATTTTGAAGATACGTTGACATAGTTTTTTCTAATGTCAGGTCGAACCAATAAGGCAGGGCTACTACATTCAGATTACATACGCGCACATCGTTCTAAACTCTTAAAAAATTTGCGTGTCGATACGATTAAGAAGGGCGTTTTTTTCAATTAGAGCAATTTCATTGGGCGGCAAATAGTGTTTCACCCTAAATGTCGTTATATGTACCGAATCATTACATAATACCCCTTTGTTTTGAAATGAGGAAATTATTTCGTTGAATTTCGTTTAGGCAAAGGTAAACATAAAAGCAATTTTTTATATCAGTTTGAGTGTGGGTCCATGTCGACAGCAGTATATTGATTTTGTCAGAATGTAAGTATTATGTTTAATGCAACTGTTGTAAGATAGAAAAAAAGGATATTAATTTATTTGTTTATTTATTTATCTATCTATTTATTTATAATTTCATTTTAAAAAATACGCGTTTGTCTCCTCATTTTTGATATATAATTTGTGAAAAGTGTTTAAAGTCATTTAAGATTACAACAGCAACTCAAATTATGAAATAATTAACAACCATATTTTCTACGTAATATCAGTATAGGTTAAAGTTTATTAGTACGTATTTACAAATTTTGAATAATGATTATTATTACGTAATTACTGTTTATTGAATTGTTATTACGTATTAACAAATTACTAATAAATTTTAACCAGCTTAGTGTTTTAAATTTTTTTATAAACAGTCGATTTACTAGACTGATTAACAGTTTGCCATATTACCAAAGTACAATGTAAATGTGTTACGATTCATTTGAAATATTGCAATCGTATTGAACAAATAATAATTTCAAACACTAATGTATGTTAACAGTGACTCATTTTTAAGATATGTCAAAATATTACTTATTTTCATTCTTTACTTTTTTAAATAGATCTGTCTGAGCTATAATAAAAGATGTTGGTATTGAAGAACGCTGCACGTGTCACCCTGTTAGCCTTAGTGATTACGACTGAAGTAATGACAGCCCCATCTACAAACGAAACGCTTCCCGGAAAACCATTGACTGATGTGGGGGCATTTCTCAACAAACCTTATCTTGTTCTTGCTGGGGAAGTTATCAATAATTTGGCGCGTAAATTTAGTGATGATATCGGTAATGTGGATAAAGGCATGGAGTCTCAAATCGGCAATGTAACGTCTCAAATGGGCAATGTGAAAAAAGACTTGGAGTCCCAAATTGGCAATGTCGCAAAAGATCTCCGTTCAGAAATGGCCGATGTAGCAAAAGAAATATGCCGCCTACATCCCTGTACTGAATGGAGTAAATGGAATCATTGTGGTTTTACTTACGTTAAAGGATACGGCAATTTCGGAAGGCAGAATCGTACCAGAAACTGTGGCTTTAATACAACTCTTTGTAAACGGTTTAGTGCATATCAAAACATAGAAGTTGAATTTCGCACTTGTAACACGTGCAAGGAAGACTATACTGTAACTGAACATGGACACTGTATCAAATTCGTGAGCACTAAAACTACTCAAAGCACAGCGGCAAAAAGTTGCCAGGCTTATGGAGGAAATCTGGTCAATATAAATTCTGAGATGAAGTTTAAAGATGTGACCAATTTTGTAACGGAAAGAAGTATATATCCTATTTTCTGGATAGATGGTCGTAGAGCTTCATCACACAGTAAATGGGAGTTTACAACGCAACCAAAACATCACTCCTTTAATCACTGGTATCCCGGTAGACCTCAAAATGACCTATGTTTGCTTTTGATACATTCTGGATCAGGAAGTTCAAGAAAATATTATATACAAGATTACGGATGTTCTAATAAACAGTCATTTATGTGCGAAGTGATTTTATGAATATAATTATATTTCGTTACAATGGTCTAAAAATTAACCAAGAAGGATTAATTCAAATCAGTCTGATTTTACTTAAAGAAAATAACTACTCATGTATAAACCGAAAGTAACTTTTGTTTGTGTTATATAATAATGTAACCACCAATTATCTGTTATATGCATTTATATGTATTTCTTCTTATCGGTACATATTCATCTCTTTTTACTGCTTCCTGTTCCACGTGCACAATTTTTATCCGAAAGAAAGGAAACGTGTATTACTAGTGTAATCTGGGAGATAGTTATGCCTTTTTGGCTGAATATACATGTAGCATAATTATAGAGGTTCGTCACGACAACTGTTTTCTATCCCAACGCTGACGTTTTCTGGATTCAAACAATTTACATAGACCTATATATATTTACTAGTAACTCCTCTCATAAAAAATGTTTTTAATTAATAATTGTCTATTAATTTTCCTAACTGATGGCGTCCGATGAGAGAAATGAAATTTTAGTACCGGCAACGTTAATATATTTTAGCAATTTTATGCAGGTTATATAATTATGTCTAATTTGAAGAATGGATATTGATCAAATTTTAACATATTTTAAATGTTGTTTGTTATACAGAATAAATATATCAAATACTTTGAATTTTTTCTATCAGTTTACGCCATGTGATGTAAAGATTTAAGATACATTAGCCATTTGTTTACCTTTCTACTTTTCGCATCGATATCGACCACTCTTGCTTACTTGCCAAATCATTATCAAAGCAATGAAAGTTCCATACACTGTCATCTTCTGCTCCATTTGAGATGATGAAATATTTCCAAATCCCTGTCAAACACAGTGCAAAGAATTGGTTTAAAAACATGCTACCTTGTACCTTTATAGTCTTAAAATATCGTATTTATATGTTTCATTAAAACATATTAGACATAACCTCATTACAGAATAAAGCATTTCGAATTCACAACATGGTTTTAAAATATATTAATTTTATAATCTGTTAATGTTTAAAATGACAAATACTCAATGGCGACGGAAAATAAGATAATCCATATAGTGACAAGCATCGTATTATTTCACAGTATTTATGAAATATATGTACATAATAATGTAACATGGCGTTTTCAGATTTATACCAAATCAGCGTTACAATAATTACTTATTTAATAATAATAAAATAATTTAATATTAAATTAAACATTAAAATATCTATGTTATCTCTAAATACACAACGGTAGACAAGTAGGTTCAGTGTACCTTTAGTTAATGTATTTCTGTCATTGCTAATGATCAATCGCTTTAAACTTGAATTATGCTGAATACAAATCAGTGTAAAAATTCATGTTCTCAAGTAGCGGTGTGTTAGTGAAATATAAATTTCGTTACATTAAAAAATAACTAAAGAACAACAACTAAATATTTGATCAAACGATTTTTCCGGGATTCAAATTTACATTTACAAAACGGACGCTAGTACGTAATTAGTATATATAATTGAGAAAGGGTGCAGCTCGTAGAAAATTCAGGTGATAAATGTATGCTTTATATGCACGGTACTTGTTACTTTTAGTACTAAAAATAAAGTGATAAAGTACTGATGTTTTTCTCTAAGTCAAAATACATAATTACCTATACAAGTTGATGGCTTTTAATATATAACTGAATTGCATAAATGCAGCCAAAAAAAGATTGCCTCCACCGGACTTTGAACTAACATCTTAACGAAACTGCGTTCTTACTCAAAATGAACAGTCTTTCAGATAAGAGAATTTTCATTACGCATTTTATATTTAAAATTCAATGTTAATAAGATGTTCACTTATTCTTAGCGGAACCTCTAAATTTTACCGTTGTGTTGTCAGCTGTTGTCGCGGCACTAGCAGCAGCAGTACCAGAAGCAGCATCAGACACAACAACAACAAGTATACGCAATAGTAATTATGACGTTGACTTTATAGAGTATGTTAGGTGGGGTCAATATTTTATTATAGATAAAATATGGGTCAGTATTTTATTTATAAAGGGGCTCAGTATTTTATAGAAGGGTGTCACTATTTTATATAAGATAATGACCAGAGGTCTATTGTGGTCACTTAATTTACAACGATACACCGCCACTATGCAGTAGTCGGGATCTCTTGCACGTGCACGATAATTGATGGTCGATTCAGCACCGTTTAGACTAAAATGCAATATCAAGTGTCTGGGATAAAAACTAGCGTCAGACGGGCAAAAAATATCAACGCTCTTAGTGATGAAAAGAAGTGACTCAGTTCCAAATTCCAAGGTGGCCAACATGGTGTGTCGCATGAGTCTAGGATTACAAAATAAATGTACAAATAAAGATAATAAACAATAATAACAAAAAAGAACGCAAAACCCCTTGCAAATCGATGATTTAAACAATGCGTTACAGAAAGTTGGTAACGTGGCATACATATCGGAGCAATTTACATAATTATGTTGTATATGAAAGAAAATCGTACGAATTATTTCAGAATAATAGTGATGCACTTCCCCAGGTGGAATAGCGGTGGCCTAGTGGTTAAGGTGTTAGCCTCTCAGCCAAGGGAACATGCATATCTTCAGGTGACGGCCCTCTTTCTTCATATGACGCTGATGTTGTTTGGTTCCAGGAAGCGGACTCGAAATTAATTTATGTTGCAAGAACTTGTTTCGCAATCGAGCTTAAATAAATATGTTTAAACCAATGCAAACAGAAAACTGCCTAGCGCTTAAGAGAGACTTTCAGAATGAATATATACGCAAGATAGTGATGTTCCGTGCAACCTTTCTCTAAAACTAATTATGCTAGTACCATTCTTGTACTATTTAAGGACAAATAACGAGTATTTGAGTAGCAAACCCTTTTCTGTTTAAAAAATATTAAAAATCTTAAATTAAAAAGTAGTACTTATTCAATGAAGTCATCTGCAATTAAATGACTTTTTAATATCAGTGGCGGATTCAGGCCCGGGCTTCAGGGCTGCAGCCCCCCCCCCCCCCCGCTGGGCCCAAAGATACGTTTACCAGCTGGGCTGGAATATATTTTTTCAGTTTTAAACTTTATTGGCTGTAGTGTACTCCCTTATCAAAACATTAATTGCTGTCATCCAGTTGTTAATCTCCTGCCCGGGGGTTTAGCAGAGATCTTTATCTATCAACATGCTTGCATGATTTCAATGTTAAACTAAATAATTAATTGGTTTATTACTGTCCTAAGGTTTAATGAAATAAATAGTCACAGATAGTGGCAAAAATATGTGTTACATAGTTCACAATATTTTACTTTCTTTGTTTTTCCATTTTCTTTTGGGAAAGCCTTATAATTAAGAAACTGAAAATTATGATTTTTTAAATTAAAAAAGTGGCCAGTTTTATAAAGATAGTATTAAAGGAATCACGTTTTAATAACTAGTTTTACTAATATTTTTATGAAAATGAAATGACTGGTTATTGCTTTTATTAACTGTTTAGAGCAGTTATATTTTTTAAATAAAATTCAGATTGTATATACTGACCTCTTTAGTCATAATCTAAAATGCCATGGATTCATTGATGGAAAAAATTCTTATTGAATATTAATGTTTGAAATTATTTTTTTTTGTACAATAGAAAGACAGTATTTTAATAACACTTTTATTAAGGAAAATCGTCTATTATTAAGATGAGTAAATTGATTGAGTGTTTGAAATTATTTTTATCAACTGTGTGCTGTTATTTTGTAAATGCTCACTATTAAACACCAGGACAATTCTGTTTAAAAAGACCCTGCACTCACCTATAAAAAATACAATGTGGTGTTAAACCGTCCAAAAGGTACCATAAACAGCACTAGAAAGTCAAGGAAATAACACCATTTTCAACCTCACATTTCAAAATTTCTCAGTCTTTGGGAGGGGACACCCCTCCCATGCCCACCCCAATTACATATATTTTCTTATTTCCATATCAACTAAGTATTTACAAAAAAATAGTGTACACTTTTATAAGCGATGTACAATGTATATTACCACTCAAAAGATGAGATATTATATGCATACTGTACTGTACTGTACTGTGCTGAGCTGTGCTGTGCTGTGATGTACTGTGCTGTGCTGTGCTGTACTGTACTGTACTGTACTGTACTGTACTGAACTTTTCTGTACTGTACTGTACTTTTCTGTACTGATAACATGTACTATATGCAATTAAATTCGAGGGAAAAAAATTTAGTAGCGTTTAACCTAAATACAAAGTATTTTTATATTTTAGTGTAGTGTTACCTTAATAATTGGCTAGGTGAACTGTAAGAATACCACGTTGTAAGATATATTTGAAAATGGCAGCTGATGATGTAAAAAAAAACTTACACATAATTTACTGCTTTCATTTTTATTTTATTGATAAATTTTGTTAAACTTATTTGATATTGTATGGGATGTATATTTAACTTTTGTTTTTTAGTGCAATGCAAGCTATTTATGATATATCATGTTTAATGTTTGGAAGATTATTTAATATATAAACATGATAAAAGGGAGGTAATTTTGTACAAACACCTGTCAAAAATTATTGATATTTAGATAAACTGTTTTTTTTATAACACGGAAAGGTATCAAATAAAATCATATATACATTGTATATGTTTACATTCAAACTAGAGCTATAACATCTTGTAGATTAAAGTCCAAATATGTTTAGAGAGGTCAGGGATAAAAAAAAATAAAATGGAGCAGTTTAACTGACAAGCTATTATTCTGCTCTACGCTTAAATCTGCTACTGCCTAAACAACTGTAGGGCATTGTTGCCTTGGGCTAGTTTCAGTCACACCCTTGTCCAATTAACCATAAAGTGTGTAGTTTATATTAAACTTAAAACACAAGTCTTTTTGCGTTTTTCCATTGTTCCAAAGTAAACACACTGATTTTGAAAATTCTAGCTTGCTATCATATTGGCAAATTCCGCTACTTCTGCTAGACTAGCATTCTACCATTTTCTACTCATCCTGCATTGATCTTTATATATGTGTATTTACAAGCTGACAAGTGGAATTTTAAATCCCTTGTGGTATTCCTCACTTAAATTGGAAGGGGCCAACACTTCTTTATTTTTGGAAAAGTTATCATTATGATTGCTAATTTTGGAAGTAAAAAGCTGGTGTATTAAAGTTCAAATTTCAAAAAAAATTGCAATTGGTAAGAGGCCTTTTTTAGGCTACTGTTATATAAGGAGGAAAATCAGTGTTCTAATACTTCTATCACACATTTTTAGGATGCTGAAGTATTCGAGATAACAGATTTCACAACTGCATCAGAATGGGAAAGGTAAGCTTAAGTCAGCTCTTTCAGTTTGGGCAATGGTTTTATGTACAAATTAGTTTTTAGGTATAAATAAAACTTTGCCCTGCGGGGAGTGAATGAGATTCAAGAAATAAAACAGCTGGGGTGCAGAGCAAATACACGCTAATTAGGGTGAAGCGTGTTTTGGCTCTGTGCTCCTGCCATTTTAACTTAATTCTTGACTTTTCGCTTGGCGGGTTCATGGGGCAAAAACACGCTTATTTGCATGGATGTGGGTTGAACTTTTATTTATTAAACTTCCACCTGCGCCCGCTAATTACTGTGTTTTCGCTCTGTGTATCCGCCATTTTATTTCTTAAATATCACTCCCGGCGATGTCTTATTTATTAAACTTCGTCTCGCGCCCTCACTAATTAGCTTGTTTTTGATGGTGCCACTGCCATTTTAAGCAGAATCATAACAACAAATTTCAGCTTTTTTTTTCTACTTTGGGAATGGTGTCGGTACCAGATTGATTGGGAAAAAATGTGTTATTTTGACTTAAATTTGGTAAAAAATGCATTTTTTTCAGCTACAAATCATGAATAAAGATAGCTAAAAGCTTCCATTGTCCAGGTAGAACTATTGAGTGGTGATTTATATAAATATGTTGAATTTAAATGATTTCAGAGAAATCACTTGGCCTTGTGGGAATTTTGAACAGCCATTTTTGGAAATAAAACATTAGAAATTTGGAATTTTAATGTCTATTTTCTATTGGGAACAGTACCATTTTAGGGTAGTAGTTATATATAGAAAAAAACACTGAATTTGTGATTTAGATAGGTGTTGACGTTAGTACAAGTGGTCTCATTAGTGGCCATAGTGGGGTCAGTTATAATAAAGAAACGACTGAAACTGGTGTTCTCAATAGTGGATAAGCCAGGTGGTCAGAATTCTAGATCTTGATATAAAGATCAGAAAATTTGGTTCTTTTAAAGATTTAAGTCTTAATAGTGGGATGGTCTTAATTTTGGCTTTGTCTTAAGTAAGGTTTCTACGGTATTTCTCAGTATTTCATTTATATGAAAATAACAAAACACAAAGTCTTATTAAAAACAAGCAGTGTTGTGATACAAAAATAATAAACCTATATTAAAGTTAATGTTCTTTTTAAAGGAAGAATGTTCTCATAAAAGATTTCTTAGACATATAATATATATGGTAACAGTCCAATGTGGCATTACAAAGAATAAAAATTTAGAATACTTTCTTTACTGTTTTTATGTAACAATTTTAGGTTTATATCTCGGGTCGAGGAAATCTTACATGAATGGAAACTTGTCAGCACACCACCTAAACCACCTGCTCCTAAGGTAAGTTTTAAACATGATTGCATAAAAACATGATACTGTAAGTTTATTGGGCTATATTTTAAATTTGGAACAGATATTCATGAGTATATGTTTTTTACATCATTGAGCTATTAATACACATAACAGGTATTTTGTTCTGATGTAAGAAATTTGTAGATTTATACAAAAACTGAAAATCCAAACTACATTAGCTGATTCAGCAAAATGTAATTATGACCGCATTTAGTGTAATGTGAAAATAAATGATAGCTTTTCTTTAATATGTTTTTTTTTTCAAAACAATTCATGTTACAATGATATTGAAATACTAGTTGCTAAGTGCATGACACTATGTTTATGTTTGATCTTATTGTGGCTACCCTATAATAATTATAGTATGCCTGAACTGTAAAATAATACTAAAATTATGAACTGTTATCTAAGTCACTCATCAAATATTTTACTAGGGTCTATATACAAATGGAAGCTGGGAGGAAAGGACTGAGACCCTAGCATTTGCAGATTTCAAGTTCTCTCTCACGCATTGCTGGCTTAAGTCAAAAGATGAGAAAACAGAAAAATCTGCGGAGAAAGAAAGTGGCGAGGAAGAGGATGATAGTGACAGAGGTATGTGTAGAAAATAACCCCTTAACTTCTTTAAATGGACTTGTCCAGCTTCAGTTGTCGGAGCTGTCCATTATCTATTTCGGGTATATCAGGATGAAAAATTTATTTGTAAATCAGTCAATAGTATAAGAGAATGTGGTGGTGGGATGGTGTTGTTAGTGAACACTTTGGATGATAGCAGTAAGCCACATTGAATTTACCACAGTTCAGCCACATGTCTCTCCTGGGAAGGCTGTCAAGTAGTTTACGAGTACCAGTTGTCTTTACATTCTTAACATTTCATATTTTGAACAGAGATCTGTCTAAATTTGATGTAATACTAAGTTTTCAGCTTTTCGTAAATTATATTTCAGAGATAACTCCGACTGTACATGGAGATTTGATGAACATGGAAAATGATTTCCCATCTAGAGCACACTGTATATGTAGATGGTAAGTTTTAGCATCTCAAAATGAGCCGCGTCATGACAAAACCAACATAATGGGTTTGCGACCAGCATGGATCCAGACCAGCCTGTGCATCTGCACAGTCTGATCAGGATCCATGCTGTTCGCTTACAATACCTATTACAAGTAGAGAAACTGATAGCGAACAGCATGGATCCTGATCAGACTGTGCGGATGGGCAGGCTGGTCTGGATCCATGCTGGTCGCAAAGCCATTATGTGGTTTTGTCATGACATGGCTCAAATAGTTTAAAGTTCAATGATTTTATCTCCTTATATAACAAAGGCCTTTACAAGGCATCCTCACAATTTAATTTTTCTTTAAATTCCTGCAGTTTTTCCAAAAATCTGAACTCTCCCCACCTTTTATACTTCCAAAAGTAGCAATTATAGCAGTTATTTTTAGGCCTCTTCCCAATTAATTTAAGTGAGGAAATTCTTTGAAATTATTCAAAACTGATCATTATTATGATAAAGTTATTTCATCTTGATGTATTCTTTATGAACAATTAGCCAGGTCATCTGGCACTTCTTTGCAATCTGATAACTTTGTCTTCTGTAGAAATTTTATATTTCAATTTTGAATAAAATCTCAAGGCAATACTTACATGAAATTTTGTGTGACAATGACAATTTATTTATTGTGTGTGTGTAAGTTATCGAAAAAATGGATAGAAGAAATATGGATTGCCCTTTGGGTTTGAATGGGTATTTTATTAATAAAAGTGGATTAAAAAAGAGTTACTCCTAAATTCAGAATATTTTTGTGTGTGATTTTCTCAGCTTATCTGGGTGTATGAATGAACTTTTACAAATTTAACTTGAAAATAAACACAACAGGTTAACAAACCCTATTGTCAATGGTAGTGCATCACGAAGCTGGAACAGTAAAAAATAAGGGGTGGGATGGGGTGGGGAGATTAACATGGAATAACCCACTTTTGCAGTGTTTTGGATAGAATATATAACAGGACACTTGGGTATAATTAATTAATGCCAGTTGAGTGGAACGCATTTTTGTAATTTCTTATTTAAATTAGTAAGTTTATGGGCTGATTTGGATGTGAGTTTATTGGTTGATTATAAGGGTTAATCATTGTTTATATATGTTTCTATTCAAGGTATGGACTTCAGGATTTTGTGACACTGAGTCCCACCAACAACACAGAGGCAGTACTAGGAGAGAGCCGAGCCAAACTTTTACTGTCCTCTGTAAACATAGCTCTTACAGATGCTGGATGGTAATATATTGTTGTTGGTTTAGTTTGAAGATTGAGCTGCGTGACGACAAAACCAACATAGTGCGTTTGCGACCAGCATGGATCCAGACCAGCCTGCCCATCTGCGCAGTCTGATCAGGATCCATGGTGTTCGCTAAACCAACCCTATTACAAGTAGAGAAACTGATAGCGAACAGCATGGATCCTGATTAGACTGCGCAGGCTGGTCTGGATCCATGCTGGTCGCAAACCCACTATGTTGGTTTTGTCGCGTTGGGCTCCGATATACTTTGCTCATCTTTTAGTTAAATAATTCAATCACAGATACGTATTGCAGCCTGTGAAATACTGAATTTGTCTTATTTGAAGAAAAAAAGATGAATAAACTGTGTATTTGAAGTTGCCTTTCCTATAACAGGAAAGTCATGTTGGTCCTTTCTTAAAAAAAAAAACTGCCACTTTTTTAAATGACACTAAATATTGTGACCACAAATAGTGTGTAGAATTTAAACGTAACAGATCTACTTTTTGTGAAGTCAAAATGTGTTGTTGTTTTTAAATTTACAAAGAAAGTGTGCAGCAATTATAAATATTTTCTAATATCAAATTTGAGCCTTGTATATCTTTTAACAGTACATATGTTTATTTCTGCTGGAGTGTGAAGAAATCTTGTAGTTTCTTTGAAAGAATGGGGATAATATCAATCACAGAATACAAGAAAACTTATTTGGCATGTGCATTGTAATATATGATTCCTGGCCCCTTGTGGCTGAGGGGTTGTCTGTAATGGTTGAGGCATAAAAATTGCAGCCACCTTTTAACCCTGGGTGAAAGTAACATGTGACTTAATGGGTTTCGAATTACTGGTGTTTGTGTATGCATTTCTTAGCTCCAACAGGTGAGGTGGTTTTCAGTCCCCTGATGTTTCTTTGAAGTTTGTAACACTTGCGGTTAGCCAAAAAACATCTTTCCTATTTCAATGCCATATGAATTATACTGTGTTGGTGTGCCGTAAAACCAAACAAACAAACATACATGTATACGATTCCTGTATTAATTGTTAAGTGACCAGGTTGTTTCAGAAATGAATATAAGCATTTTAATATGTTTTAACTTACATATTATTATAATATCATTTACATGCAAATACTTTTGTTGGTTTTCTTTAAGCTATGCTCAATATCTTTTGTTTACTGGTTCCCTTTTCTCTTCTAGCTGTGTACCAGTATTTGTGCAGATTCATCAGAAATGGAGACGTTTGTACCAGGGTACCTGTGTGTTGCCTGGCTCGAACATTGAGTTTGCTATGGTACATTTAAAAAGGACACCAGCACAGTATAACCATCTTGCTGGACTTCTAGATGTGTTTAAATCAAAACTTGTGAGTACATCAAATAACATGATAGATATTATAATAGCATACAAAATAAGTTATCGTATATGGAGGATATTAAATGAGTGTAAGTTCAATACTGAATTTATTGCACAAGTTGAATAAAATTATATGGGAGCCTCTGGCGAGCATAATATTTTTTTATTCAACGAGTGCAAGAAATTCAGTATTGAACTTACACGAATCCAATATTCTATTTATCACATACCCAAATAAATACCGGTTAAAGTGAAACGAGAGTCATTTTTCAATGACACGTCTATAGTATAACACTAACATTTAGCGCGTCTTTACACTATGTTTGTATAACGCTAATGACGTCACGTCAAAATATATGCACGGCCGTGCAATACCATATTTACGGAGTCGCAAAATCGGCATGGTTGTGTGATAAAAAGAGTTATTAACATTTTATTGTTTAATATTTGTTTTCCAGGCTAAGTGTGGCTTCTAAATGTTGAGGACCATTTTGTGTATTTACATGATTTACCTGTGTTATTAGTTTTTCAAATGATGGAACTAAGTAAAAGAAAACTTGTTTTGACATTTTAAATTGTGATGGTTTGAGAAAGTATTCCACATTTTAACATGTATTGACATGTTTATTAGCATGTCCATCCATGCTATAGATAAATATGCTCTTAAACTGTTGGCCAAATCCCCAGTACCTTATTACCAATGCCCATCCTCAATCTGAAAAATTTTTTAATATACAGCCTGTGTCATGATAAAGTCAAAAGACCCATGTTGTTTTGTCTATTGGAAAGGGTTACTGTACATGAACCATTTGAACTTACAAATATGCTTTATTTGAAAAAATGCACACTTTTTTTGTGGGAGAAACAGGCTTTATCTTAGATATCGCACAATGTGTTACGCACTATGTGTGATTATTACCAATAGATCATGTTGCATGGATATAAAAGCTAAGGAACATCAAAGAACAAATCACAGCCTAGAAATGATTTTATCTTTTTGAATCTATACACAGGGTTCTGTAGCTGATCCAAGACCACCCGTGTCGGTTGCGGTCCGGTTCATGTATATGCTGTATGACTGGGTCAACTCCCCATGGACACAGCCTCTGCCAGGTATATTATCTATATTATTGAGCAACTAAAAAATTCTCAGATAAAAAGGTGCTGGTAGTTTTAATATATCTGTGAGAAGAGATTCTTGTTTTACTGTCTTTTATCTTGTTCAATCATAGGGCGATGCACAATTTTTCCATGAATTGATCTTGGAATTGTGTCTAATGGTCATTTGTCTCTCATTGCTGATTTAGAAATCATGTGAGATAGTTGACCTATGATATGACCAATAAATGTGTTAAAATGGGGAAAAATTCCAGACAAACAAACAAACAAGCTTCAGATAAACTATGCTCAAATTTGATATTAGAAATATCGATAATTGCTGTACAGTTCCTTAGTAAATATGAAATAAACATGTTTTCACTTCACACAAAGTAAATATATGTTATTTTTAGAATTCATTTTTGAGGCAGAATGTGCCTTAACTATGTAACCTTCATATTGCATGTTTGTTAAATATTTGTACAATATATATTGTAGTTCATAGCAGCAAAGTGAGAAAGTTAAATGGTAAGGGAGATTTGTAGAACAGCTGCTGCTGCATGTCTTTTTTCTTTGGTTTCTATAATACTAAAATTTGCTTAAGATATGTGCTTTTTTCCCTAGCATTTCAGCATGAATCGTTTATTTATCAGTAAGCCGTTCTACCTATGACTGTACAATTGATTTTTAGGGTTGTCCGTGCCTGAGTGATTTCTTTAGGATTGTTTGTACCTAAGCTAAAGTAATTTAGGCTGTTGACTTCAAAACCACTTGCCCCTCATCGTAGTGGGTTTAAATCCTGCCTGAGACTTTGATTTGTTCATGTGCCGAAGCTATCCTGCTAGTTTATTGAATTTCATTTGTTATACTCAGGTGCTAGCTGGTACCTGAAGTAATGCACAGAGGGGCACATAAAGGGCACATGAGGAGTACGTGGGTTTTTTCACCAGTTAAGCTTAAGTCTTGGAGTACAGATAAAAAAAACTCTTATAAGGATTTACTTTGTCTTGATTTAAAAGTACTATGCTAAAAACAACAACACAACATTGTAAAGTTTGCACCAACAAAAAAATAGTATTTGCCATTTGTTGTTTTATAAACGTCATTTATTTTTCTGAGGAAGACTGCATGATGCAAATAGGGTCATAGTTAAAAGAAAAAAAAAAGATGTACATTTAATTCTTCTATAAGAGAAAGAGGGAATTAGCACCAAAGTAATTGCGACATGGCTAAATTGTTCTTTATATGACACATACAAGCTGCTCATCATTTATTTAAAAAAGATTAAGTTGCATATTTTGTCTCTTTGCTCGAGCACTTGATTGATTTTTGTTTTATACTTTAAGGTAAAATGGAATGCATTTATTTGTTAACAATTATTAACAGTTTTGCAAGTATTTATTGTATGATTGTGAGTGTTTTTTTTAATGTTATGCAATTAGATATTTTCTAACCCTTATCCTGCTGGAATTGATAAGCCTTTGAAACCAGGTATAGTGTTAGGCAAACCAGCATTATATAGGTGTAGACTAACCTGGTTCTATACAATTGGTTTAAACATTTTTATTTATTTAATTAAGCTTGATTGCAAAACAAGTTCTTGCAACTTATATTAATCACTTTCCAGTAAGCTTTCTAGAACTGGTGTTATATGAAGAAACATGGTTGTGACGTGTAGGGCTTGAACCCATAATCTCTGGGTTGAGAGGCAGACACCTTAATCACTAGGCCTGCACTGCTCCCCTTGGCTGATCAACGCTATATTTACATCCCAAATACTCAAAATAGTTAAATTAAATGGACTTTTCAAAAATAGAGAATGGACATTTCAATTTAAGATATTCAGAGGGTTAAAGCAGCCTTGAGCTTTCTAAACAGAAAATTCTTTATTTTTAGATAAATCGCCTCATAATTATTGTCAAATAAAAAACATTAAGGTGGTAAATGAAATTTTTCTGGCAAAAAAATTTAAAAAAAAAGAAACGAAACCCCTTGATACCTCAAATCTACCAGTCCGCTCCCTATACTAAGTTAGTTAAATGGATGATTTGTTTCCCGATCTTCTATTTTTAGAAACATATGTCACTGATATGTTATAAATAGCACACAGGTTGTTGTTTTAAAGAAGGTTTAACAATGATGAGATGCACTATTTCAAGATAAAATTAGTGAAATACTTAGTATGAAACAACACAGAATTGTTTTTTCAACTGAAGGTAAAAGCTAAAGGCTGCCTTATGGATTGTTAAATATGAAGTTTTGTTGTAAATTATTTTATTATTATGGTTTCTATATAACTATCACAATATATTATACAATATATATATATATATATATATATATTGTAAAAAAAACATTAGAAAACTTTAGAAATGTAATGTATATGGGAAAGCACGGAATATTAAGTCCATGCTTCTTCATGGAAAACATGGAAAATATTCCATGTAGCATGGATAATGTTTCATGTTATTTCCTTGTTTTTCCAGCCCATTTTTTCCAGTCTGAGCCAGGAAAGGGCTTTAAAATTTTGTCCTAATACTCCAGCCTCTTTATTTTCAATGGAAATCACTGGAAAAGCATGGACTTTTTACACCCAGGCAGCACCATTGCACTACTTTTAACATCATTCCCGGTGTACGAGGGATGTCCGGAAAGTTCATATACTTTTTCATTTTTAGCTCACCTGTCACAAAGTGACAGGGTGAGCTTTTGTGATCGCTTTTCGTCCGGCGTCCGTCCGTCCGTCCGTCCGTCGTCCGTCCGTCGTCCGTAGACTTTTTCTTTAAATGACATCTCCTCATAAACCACTAAGCCAATTTCATCCAAACTTCACAGGAATGTTCCTTTGGTGGTCACCTTTAAAAATTGTTCAAAGAATTTTATTCCATGCAGAACTCTGGTTGCCATGGCAACCGAAAGAAAAAACTTAAAATATCTTCTTTTAAAAAACCATAAGAGCTAGAGCTTAGATATTTGGCATGAAACATCTTCTAGTGAGTGTCTACCAAGTTTGTTCAAATAAAAGCCCTGGGGTCAAAATTGGCCCCGCCCCGGGGGGTCATTGATTTTCCCTATATGCATATAGTAAAAACTTAAAAAATCTTCTTTTAAAGAACCCAAAGAGCTAGAGCTAAGATATTTAGCATGAAACATGTTCTCATGGGTGTCTACCAAGTTTGTTCAAATAAAAGCCCTGGGGTCAAAATTGGCCCCACCCCGGGGGGTCATTGATTTTCCCTATATGCATATAGTAAAAACTTAAAAAATCTTCTTTTAAAGAACTCAAAGAGCTATGGCTAAGATATTGAGCATCAAACATGTTCTAATAGGTGTCTACCAAGTTTGTTCAAATAAAAGCCCTGGGGTCAAAATTGGCACCGCCCCAGGGGGTCATTGATTTTCCCTATATGCATATAGTAAAAACTTAAAAAATCTTCTTTTAAAGAACCCAAAGAGCTAGAGCTAAGATATTTAGCATGAAACATGTTCTCATGGGTGTCTACCAAGTTTGTTCAAATAAAAGCCCTGGGGTCAAAATTGGCCCCACCCCGGGGGGTCATTGATTTTCCCTATATGCATATAGTAAAAACTTAAAAAATCTTCTTTTAAAGAACTCAAAGAGCTATGGCTAAGATATTGAGCATCAAACATGTTCTAATAGGTGTCTACCAAGTTTGTTCAAATAAAAGCCCTGGGGTCAAAATTGGCACCGCCCCAGGGGGTCATTGATTTTCCCTATATGCATATAGTAAAAACTTAAAAAATCTTCTTTTAAAGAACCCAAAGAGCTAGAGCTAAGATATTTAGCATGAAACATGTTCTAATAAGTGTCTACCAAGTTTGTTCAAATAAAAGCCCTGGGGTCAAAATTGGCCCCGCCCCGGGGGGTCATTGATTTTCCCAATATGCATATAGTAAAAACTTAAAAAATCTTTTTTTAAAGAACTCAAGGAGCTATGGCTAAGATATTTAGCATCAAACATGTTCTAATAGGTGTCTACCAAGTTTGTTCAAATAAAAGCCCTGGGGTCAAAATTGGCACCGCCCGGGGGTCATTGATTTTCCTTATATGTGTATAGCAAAAACTTAAAAAAATCTTCTTTGAAAAAACCCAAATAGCTAGAGTTAAGATATTAAGCATGAAACATCTTTTAGTGAGTGTCTACAAAGTTTGTTTAAATAAAAGACCTGGGGTCAAAATTGGCCCCGCCCCGGGGTCATTGATTTTCTTTATATGTGTATAGCAAAAACTTAAAATCTTCTTTGAAAAAACTCAAATAGCTAGAGTTTAGATATTAAGCATGAAACACATCTTCTAGTAAGTGTCTACAAAGTTTGTTCAAATAAAAGCCCTGGGGTCAAAACTGGCCCGGCCCCAGGGGTGTCATTGTTTTTAACTATATGTGTATAGTAAAAACGTTAAAAAAATCTTCTTTTAAAAAGCCCAATGAGCTAGAGCTTAGATGTTTAGCATGAAACATCTTCTTATGGGTGTCTACCAAGTTTGTGCAAATAAAAGCCCTTGGGTTAAATTGGCCCTGCAACATTGGGGGGGGGGGCTATATACAGGTGAGCGACCTCAGGGCCATCATGGCCCTCTTGTTTATTGTATAACAATACATACGTTGTACAAATTTTGTCAGCAAAAATATACATATCTAGCGAGCACATTTATCAAAAATTACTAAATTGTGACTTACGTTTGTATTTTACAGTATTAACATACAACATTATATACACCGTCATGGAGCACTTTGACAACGTCAACAGCGTCAATTTAACTTCATGTTTATCCACTATTCAATTTCTTTCGATTAAAACAGCCATGGAACTTGTCTGGCGTATACTTTATACATGTTATGTTCCCTTGCTATTACTTAATGAATTTCATATACTACATTTAAAAAACAACAACAAAGGTGTCACTGATTCCAATACAGTGTGTGAGATGTCTGTCTTTTTCAAGGATTGTTGTAACGACATTTTGGCCATTCTACTTTTGGTCATCTGATACGTTTCTTATACAAAATACTGTCATCACCGCTTCTTTATCCTGTTTGACAATTAAACTCAAGTTGCCCATAACAATTTGTGGTTGATTTTGTTTTAAAAGTAAAAATTATAATCATTATTAGCGTTGCTTTGAAGTTAAATAACATTACGTTGCTCCGTCCTTGAATTTGACATCATTTTTTTTACACAAAACTAACGCAACTTCATTGCATATAATCCTCGTTAACAAGTTGTTTCTTTGCGTATGACGTCTTTATTTTCACCAAATATCAAGCAATAGTACCTTTTGATGTCACAACATTTAAACAAGAGTTTGCGTTAGATTTAGCAACTTTTTATTCGTGTAGCTATTGTCATGAAATCAAAGTGCTCCGTGATTCGTTGATCATATTGCCATGGTGATTGGCAATTTGCGAATACAACTTTTATCATGTTTTTCTAATTTAGATATTTGTAGCAGAATAAATACTTTAGCAAAATATTTAATCATCATATTAATATGACTGCTTATATTATAATGATTTTATAGCCTTGTCTATGAAATTTCCGGACAGCCCTCGTACATATATTATTACTTATTATATAAAAGATATTGCTCCATTTAACACTCAAACAGTACATTTAGCAATAGTCACTCTGCATCTCTTACATCTCTTACATTTTTGTTGTTGTTGTTCTTTTTTTACCTTGATTAGTCTTTTTCATATCTTGGAACTTTCCTATCAAACAAAATCTGAAAAATTGTGTCAAAGTTTGGCAAAGCTCATGATGGTCATTTGATAAAAAATTTACAAAAATAAATTGTGTTATTATATATTCAGACTTTGATGATGAAGTTGGATGTTCTGGGTTTGAGCAGCTGCCGTTCGGTGCATGTGAGGACCCTGTCAGGTATATGCTTAAAATTTTAAAATGATACATTACCATGTTTGACAGCTGTGGATTTAGATTTCTGTCACAAATGTTGTAATTTCTTTTTTTATGCCAAAAGAAAGTTTGTGTTTATACAAGACAATATGCCAGCCCACAAAGCTCAGTCAGTTAGAGCGAGAGACTTGTAATCTCAACATGGTGGGTTCGATTTTCAAGGCTGGCCAACTAAAATTACTTATCAGTCTTTTGGATGAGACTTTAAATGGAGATACCATTTATGAATGCTTAATCATTTGGCACATTAAAGAACCAAAAGAAGCTTCTGGAGTTTGAGCATCTTTCTATCCTCCAAAATATAAAGTGGTTAATGCTCTTCTGGAGGACTGGCTCATGTGGGCAATTGGTGACAAGTATAAATAAAATTAAATAGACTATCTTTACCAGATAATGCGTAAAGTACAGATCAAATTGTTAATGAAGCTCAAGGGTCACACTTTGTATTCATAAAATATATGGAATAAAATGCAAAAGCAATTATACAGTATTAAATTTTAAATGCAAGTCAATCGTCACCACAGTCATAAGGACACAACATAAGGACATAGTGGGAACTTTCGACTTGCATATTTTCAAACCTCATGGTAAAAACGACCCGTGCATGTCCTTACATAGTAATAATTATAAAGTGAGGGCATCATTCAGACACATTCCTAGTTTATTATTTTTATTTGCTTTCAGTGCCTTAAGTTTATACTGCACATGGCCAAGTCTATCTGAGGATATGATTGTAGAAAATCAAGTTTATTCGTAAGTAGAGTGTTACAACTTTAATGAAGGTGAAACTTTCAGAAAGAATCAAGAACTTTTTGTACAATTTAAGCATAATTAAAAAGTGCTGACATTTAAAAATGTTTTAAATTCAATGTAAATGTGCCCTTTTTGAAGAAATTGGTTCCCGCTCAGCAGTGACTCATTTTCTCAGATAAAAACGTAAAAGGCCTAGAAAGGACAAAGAAAAGTAAAATAAAGAAAAAAGCTCATGATTAACAAATATTTTCATTTTCTGATAACATTAAAAAAAAAAACAACATAAATGAATCAAATACAGTCCAACCCCGTTTATTCGAAGTGCCTGGGACTGAATATTTACTCTGAATAATCGATGGGTTCGAATAATCGGAATCCGAATATTGTGATAGACGAATACTACTCCACTTTGACAAATCGTAGCAAAACTACCGTTTACAACACGTTTCGTTTCGCGCAAAACCTTGATAATGGCCGTGTTGTTACTACGGTATTTACAGCTAAACTCTGGTATTTTCGATTAGGAAAAAAGGCTCTTATGTAGCGTTTTGGATGTTTTGACAAATTTACATATTCGGTATGTATGAAAAATATTGCTGTCATCTCCAAGCAATAACAGTAACAAAATCGGACACGGTACATCGCTTTTCATTTTCGGTAATTAAAGTTGATTAAAGAACACAAAAAGAGCTATTATCACGATTGTCTAAATACATGCATGACTATTGATGTATTTCACAAGTCGACCAGTCAGCGAGTGGATCTGCGCCAATTAGTCCGACTTCGAATAATAATTAGGCTTGTTTCGAATAATAGGTGTGCGATTCTTTCATAATTGTATAATCGGGACCGAAATTTTACTTCGAAAAATAGGAGGTATTTGGATAATGCCTTTCGAATAATGCGCTGGTATTTATATTGATTTATATAGAGATAAAAACGGGACCGCCGATCTATTTCGGATAATGCCAGGTATTCGAATAAAGGGTTGTTGAATAACCGGGGTCGGACTGTATTTTCAAATTTTCGAATGGTAGAGTTTTAATTGTATATGAAAGGATATATTTTTGTCCCAAAAATTCTGAACTTTGTTTCAATGACCTTTCAGTGACCTTGACCCTCTCCAAGCTCCTCATTGGTCAGTTAGAATACAGATGACAGAGGATCCACAATGCTTGCTGGGTAATTTTTGTAATATTTTAATAAGTCTGTTTACATTGTAAAATGTAGCAGAACAAGCATGTCTGTTTTTACGTACATTTTACAGGAAAAACAAACAACACTCATTAGAAAATGGGCCTCAAAGCAAAATGACTTCAATCTAACTGGTCATCTATGGGTGTAAATTTCAAATTATCGTGGCAAATTGTTTTGTGGGAAAGATCATTAGTTTTACCCTTGATTAATTTCTTGTACAGGTACAATTTGCATGCAGTTGAATGAAATGTGTATTTACTTCATGGAAACATCTTCTTGGAAACTATTTCTTGGAAATAACTTCTTGGAAACTACTTCTTGGAAATAACTTCTTGGAAACAACTTCTTTGGAATATCTTCATGTATACACTATGTTGAAATACAAAATCTAATGACTTTATTGAATGGTATATCAATGTAAGGGAAATGTACCAAGAAATTTCTGTTGGTTTGATTGTCAAAGTTTTTCTTTTCTTTTCCTCTTTTTCAGGAGAGTATCTGATAAATTTCTTGGCACTTTGTCATAGAAAAGAGACTTTAGATCAGCTGATAGGTGGGTTTGGTTCAGAAATGAGAGAAAGTGGTAAGATTCCATTACAGTATTGAAATATTCATGTTCAGTCATTTCAGTTTATGTTCTAGTCCTTACCCCTAAATCAGCTCAAATATATATTTGCTTTCTCAAATTTGAAGAAAAACTTATTTGTAAGTTTAACTCTTAAAGGAACTCCACTAAGGTTCAAAAACCTAAAAACATACAATTTTAATTCCTTACATAGACCAGCTGGGGCATTTGGAACGACAGATGGTTAAGAAATATAATCAGAAATACATTGAAAATAGTTTTTTTTTTTTTGTTTTTTGCTATTCTCAGTCAAATTGGAGTGAAATTTTTGTTGGTGTTTTTTCCACAATTGGAATAATTAATCTGGAAAAACAGAGTTAGAAAATGACCTGAAATTTTTCATACAAGTTGTTGGTCTGGACATTTATCTTGAAAAATCATTTCCAGTCCCCTCATGTCAAAAATTATGTTGAGTCCCTTTAACATCCAGCTCTGATTTTGAACTGTCTTTTGCTAACATCATTGACAGTGATATCAAATTGCTTAATGTTATTAGATAACTATTTTGTGTCCAGTAAGATTACTTGAATTTTGCATTTGCTGACCTGGTCCTATAATGGAAGTTAGGATTTTTTTTTTTTTTTGAAAAAGATTTAATTAAATGTTTTCTGTATGTATTAATCATAAACTATACAGTTACAGGTGAAATGTGATTGTGTCATTATGAAAGACAGATTTTTTATGGCATGGAGAGATTTTGTTGTTTATATTTCAGACTCTACTGGAGAAATTAGTAATGCATTACAGAAGTTAACTGAGCCATCAGTAGGGTATAACATCCCATCTCTAACGTCATATGTCTCTCAACCACAGAAACAAGCTGGCAAGGCTAAAGATGCTCCGATACAAGGGGAACTTTTGGACCAAATTGTACAAGTACGACTTTAAATCAATAAACCCTGTTTGCTCTTGGTTAAAATCTTGGTTCAAACAATTTTATATCATGACTGCAAATTCATATATTACTTGGACATTTTAACATACTTAATACTCAATGATTCACCTTCAAAAATAATGATTTCATAAAATCCTATGTTAAAGAGATGGTGAGGGTATTCGTCACTCCTGTGACAGCTTTAGTTTCAATATGACTGTATAAAAAATTTAATTCTTTTATTCATCTTTTATATTTTTCAGTTCTTGTTCCCTGATGCAGCTAAGCCAATATCTGCAGATAATGAAGAAGAATATATGAGGGAGACCACGCCACAACCACCAAAGGTTAGTAATAATAACCCACCTATATCATTAGTGTTAATGATTAGTATTCAGGTTTAATATTAAGGTTACCTGTAAGGTTTAATGATAAGGGTAATTGTCAGTATAAAGGTTTAGCCTTAAAGTTTAGTATTAAGTTTTATCACATATCCATGCTGTTTTTGCAACTCTGTAAATATGGTATTGCACAACCGTGCATATTTGACGTGACATTATTTGCATATATATAAACATAACGTTAAGACGAGCAAAATGTTAGTGTTACACTATAGGCGCATCAACAAAAATGGTTCTTTTTCACTTCAAATGGTCCTTATGTTTGGTATATGAGTAATAGAAATATTAAATTTGTGTAAGTTCATCACTGAATTTATTGAACTTGTTGAATAAAATAATATTATGCTCGCCAGAGGCTTGCATTTTATAATTTTATTAAACTTTTTCAATAAATTCAGTATTAAACTTACACTCATTGAATATCCTCTATTTATAACATTAAAATTCATCATTTACATTTAGCATAAAGGATTAGCATAGATAGTGCTGAACTTGTCAGTCAAAGAGTCAGTAAATTGTATCGGGGTAGACGTATCGGATTTTTCACCGAAACATATTTCAACTATCAGGTAGCTTATGGAACTTCCAAGGTTCTATTCAGGTATCCGTTCGTGCTTGAAATAATGCACAGAATGGCACCTGAGGTCTTCCTCCACCAGTAAAGCTGGAATGTCTCGATATGACCTATACTGTGTCCATGTGACGTAAAACCCAAAACAAACAAACAAAAACATATTTCAAGTCATCTCATTTTTACCTTGTCTATTTCATAAGAAAATGTCAAGCTACATGTAGTAGTAGCATCTTTGTCCTGGTTGTACAAAAACTTTTATTTAGCCCATTATTCATACATTTTAAAAAATATCAACACAAAACTTGGAATACTTGCTTATCATGACAAGGTGCAGTTGTTAGACAAGGGGCATAATTCTAAAAGTAATAATCTTAGAGACATGCCCCTTTTAACTTAGATTTTAAATTAGACAAGCACACAATGCTCTTGTTAATAGATAGTTTTGTAATTTCTTGTATTTCAGGAACTTCCCAAGCAATTAAAGTCATCACAGGTTGATGGTCTGTTACATAAATTGGCTATATGCTTGTGTGTATTGAACCATAACCATGGCGGTGTGTGTGCAGTGGCCCAGATCTGGCAGGAATTTATCTTAGAAATGAGATATAGATGGGAAAATAACTTCTTTATTGAGGGGTTAGTGCTGTATTTAATTTTGTAGTGCTTCATTTGCTAGATATACTTAAGTAACAATGGTGGTGGTGTTGGTAGTTTTCACTTCCGTTCATGAAAGTAGGCTACATTGACTTTAACAGAGCACAGTCCCAGCCACTGCATCGTTCCTGGGCAGGCTGTCAAGCAGTTTATCAGTACTAGTTGCCTTCACTTATGCAAGGAACTGAAACTTCTGTACATACCAGAGCAGATATACAGTGCGAAAGACCATAGAAAAGATTTCATGATCAATCACAAAGAATGTGACTTGCGCCCTCCGCGATTATATCTATATAATTAGTCTTCTAAAACAATTTCCAAACATCCAAGAATATGTGGAATAATTATGTACTGCAAATGTTTATATGCATTGTAAGTAATCATTAAAATATATGCATTCATTTCTTATTGAAAAATTTGGCATAGACTTTTTCGAAAAAATATTTCTAATTACCTCCCTTTATTTACTTGAAATGTAACTTTGGTAATAACTTTAGAAATAATGTTTTTTTGGAACTTACAATATGGATAAATCTTCATTTGAGCATTATATTTATGATATAAAACCATAAAAAAATGAGTTTCTGGATCTTTAACTTGTTTAAAGTTTGAAACCATATTTTGTTGATAATTGGTTTTGGATATCAAGAAGCTAATACCTTTGTGAAGTTCCTTTAAGGGGTATTGACAAAAAATAGATTAATATAGTCATGGTCAAAGTCTGTTGGCTAAAAATACATTTTCCTACATGTCATCAAAGAAGGGCTTTAGTTTTAACCTTGTCTAGGGGAAATTTGGGAGTACCTTTTGATGTTGATCAATATTCTTGTTAACTTAAAAAAGAAAACACAGAATAATACTTGTCAACTCTGGGATTGCTGAATTAATTTCCGCTTGTGTAAACTTGATTGTATTTTTGAGTTGAAACAAAACTAGAGTGCATCACCTTTTTACACATGTTTCAAATGATCTTTTTTGTTTCAGGATAGAAAAAGGACCACCTAATTTAGGGTCTTGCTTACTCCAACAGAAATTACAGGTAATTTAAACAGTATATTAAATCTTGTGTTTCCAAATTTAAAGGAAGCCTGCTGAGAAGAAAGTCTAAAAAACCTAAAATTTGTTAATCTAACTCATGTTTTAATTTATAGTGTTTGAATACTTTTTCATTTTAGGCCATCATGAAAAATTTTAAGTGACATGCCCACTCAAGGATATATAATGAGTGATCAGGTGAAACTCAAATTAGTTAACATTTTGCCATAATTCCATTCAATTTAATAATTAACTTCCCATGAATGATAAATAACATGGAAATTGTTGTAAATATCCATCTGAATGAACCATTAATGTTCATTTTATAAAAAAAAAATGGGTCAGTATTTGTATATTTTAGGCAGATTATATTTCATCTGCAATATTTTCCAAAATTAACAGTCTGTCAATCATTATTATAACAGTCAATCTTTTGAAATAAACAGTCAATACAGCTCAACTTGACAATGAAAAAATGAGCATAATGTCACTTTAAAATAATTATTAAATTTATTCTGGCTGGGACAGAGTGAGCAAATGATTTGAAATTCTGCACACATATTAGGAGAGTAAAGAGGCAGATACCTTAACTACAAGGTCAGTTAGGTCACCGCCCCTTTCCTTTTTGCTTTGGTTTTCAGTGACTATAATAGGTCTTACATTCTTATTTATATCTAATAATTTGTGATAAAATTAATGCCAAACTTTTTCTGTGAATCTCATTTTGTATAAGTTTTGTTTGGAAGGATAATTTGAAGTGTATTATATTATAAGGAACTGTAAAACATACATGTATGTTAGTTGCTGATGAAACTCGTACCAAAGTATCTAAATTGAAAGAAATATGATCATCAATATAATGCATGTGGTTCATGCATAAAATCATTGCTGCACCTACAAAATATTCAATTAAATCTGTTTGTTCTTTACTTGATTGACATGCATTAACTCACCAAGAACTGTTTTGCAAAGAATCTGTTAAATTATCTGGCTGTGACCGATGTTGGTTGGAATTCTGCCAACGACTTTGAATTATTTCAAGAGACTGTGAGTAAGCTTACAGGATGTCAATGGTTTCTACTCAAGTGCCTGTTTATGCCTCAAATAATGCACAAAGAGGCATATGCATTCCTCATTCACCAGTAAAGCTGGAAAGTCACCGTATGACCTTTACAATATTGGTGTGACTTTGAATTCAACAGAATAAAAAGGATGAAAATAACAACCTTCAGATCACCAGAAGGAAATGAGGGATATTTAAGTTAAATTAATATGTAATTTATGTTTTTCCGATAATGAAGCTGTAGACCCCCCTTTAATCTTGACCATTTATATTTGTTATTTTCACTGTACCTTTAAGCTATTTTTACTTCAATTCAAGGATAAAGTACAATGTAATTTTAAATGAATATCCTCTTCTCATGTTAATGAACTTAATTATTTCGATACATAATTATTTTGAAATATCTATTTTTCAGATGTTAAACTGTTGTATAGAACATAAGAAAAAGAGGGAACAGCTCCATAAAGGTTATACTGGGGAGCCAGATTCCCCTCCAAGTTCCCCGTACAGGGGCCCCTCGACATCCCAGGTGTCAAGATCAATGTCTCATGACGATAGTTTCATTAACCAACCACAGAAACAATGTTCTACAGAATAATGATCCAAAACATGAATCAAGCACAGTCATCAGAAAACATGTCCTGTAGTGCTGCAGAACAATCAAGGCAAATCCTAGTGCAATTAAAAAAAATTACACAAGGACTGGTTTATCCCTAAAACTTACAAGTTCTGGTGAATCAAGTGATGATGAAGAATTCTTTGAGTGTAATGATGATGAAAATAACCAGTCTGGTGAAAAAGATGAAGATACTTCTGCTGGGAACCAGACTTCTGAAAACCAGCAGCAGATGCAGGATGAAAATCAATCTGATAATGAGGGTAACCAGTCTGTAAATAATGAAGATAACCAGTCTGAAAATGAAATGGATTGTGAACCAGTCAATATTTCACAGACTAGTTCTCAAAATACATCATTGACTGATTCTCAGATTAGAGAATTTGACTGGTTCGAGCAGAGACAAAGTGTAAGCAATGCATCTGTGACAAGTGACACCAGCGTTCAAGGATAGTTATTCACACAAACCAGAAGGAAGACTTTGCTTTATTCCAGGATTTAAAATTGGTGGAATTTTGTGAAGAAAAAATGTATATACCAATAACACAAGAGCCGGCGCCCATGACTGAAGATATGTTAGAGGAGCATGCTGAAGTTCTTGCTAAGTAAGACATTTTTTCTCTCATATTTGTCAAAAACAATGATCATTACCAAGTTTTGTTGTGCCTATCATTGGCATTTCCCAGTTCAATGATTTTTGTCAGAATTATGGCTTATTGAATGATTTTTGTGCCCCCACTTTAGGGGCATGAACAGCCATGTCCAATACATGACCCTATTTATTTTGGGGTCATAAGGTCAACGGTCAGGGTCACTATGATCTCTACACGGAAAATTGTGGTTTCTTGGGCATAACTTAAGTTCCATTTTGCCCACAGTGTTCAAATTTCATAGGATGATTGTCAATATTGAGAAGAAGACCCCTAGTAATTTTTGGGTCACAAGGTCAAAGGTCAAGGTTACTATTACCTTAAAACTGAAAACAGTTTTTGCTCAATAACTAGTATTAATCAACCTACAGCTGTAAAATTTTATAGGATGAACAGCCATGTTCAATACATGTCCCCTATTGATTTTATGGTCATAAGGTCAAAGGTCAGGATCACACTGACCTTAACACTGAAAATTGTGCTTTCTGGAGCATACCACAAGTTCCATTTGACTTACAGTATTCAAACTTCATAGGATGATTGCCTATATTGAATTAAAGAACTATATCTATATTGGGGGTCACAAGGTCAAAGGTCAGTATCAAATGACCTTAATATTGTTAACTGTTTTACAACTTCATAGGATGATCACTTATATTGAGTACATTAATTATATGCTCTAAAAATTTGCCTAAATTATGTTATACTCCTGGCGTCTTTTTGTCCATCCGTCGTAGCATTTTCACTTACAAGATAACAACTTGATGTGCTGGATTGGCTGGAACAAAATACATTCTCAAACAGTAGATCCTTTAGAATCTGTCCGTCCAACACCATTTACATCTATACATTATACATTACAACTGATGACAAAGTTATGCTCATCACGTATAAAAAGAAGCATTCTGAATGGTATCTTTTATCTCTACTTCGTTTTCCACAATTATTCACAGGGATTTTTTTTGGCTTATTTTATAGCCGTTATTGGGTCATATTCCCAATTAAAAATAGTATATTATTTTCCCAAACCACAGGAAAAAATTCCCAATTGAAAGTTACAAAATAAAAATATTGAATAAAAATTCTAACATCTTTGCAAATAAAGGCTTTTTTACTGTATTAGTGCTTAAATGTTTGAAGATGCCATCATAGACAGTAATTGTTTGCATCCATTTAATCACTGCAAAATTTCAGTCATGCATTTTTTCCCAATTTTTAACAAAACACCGCTAAAGTTCCCAATTCCATGGGTATGTGTCATGTTCCCAAAATCCTGGAAAAAATCCCTGATTCATAAAAAATATTCCCATGTCTTACAAATGCTTCATCCTTACTAAAAAAAAACACTTTTCAGGCATCTTGTTTAAATTTATGCATTGTTAAATGATAGAATAGAAATTGATTTTACAAAGAATATTGTTATTTAATCATATCATTTAAATATTTTATAATATTTCACAATGTTATTTATAAATATTTGATGTTTAATTGGTGGGCGCCGTTTGTCAGCAAATATTATGAACAAGCAATCTATGTTTTTTCAACAGATCATGGCTTTAAAAACATTATTTTATGAAATATTTATCTTTTTTTCACAAGTTTGTTGTTAGAATTTTCATTTTTAATCCTGTATTTATTTTTTGCCCTTTTCTTGAACACTTATATAATTTGCGTATAGCAAACTACACCAAGTTATACCGAGACATGCTTAATTGTAGTGAGTAGGATTTACATAGAGCGTTTCCAGACCATTCTATTTGAAAGACCCTGCCTGTGATAAAATTTGAATGAGACTTTACAGGATTGTTTTGTAGCTCAAGTACATGTGCATATCACATAGAATGATTTTTGACTAAGTTCCGGCCCTTCCATGATCAAGGCTGCAACATGCTACAAAGTAGGCTAAGAAGCTTTGCCGTATAGGGGTATGTGTACATACATTTATAAGATTTAGAAAGTAAGAAGGCAGGAGTACAATTTTGTAAGCATGAGGATGGTCAAAACTATTTTATTATAGGATAAAAAAGTTAAGATTTTCATTTGGAATAGGATCATATGTATAGTTTAAACTTTTACATTTCTACATTGTACATCATTACCCACCCATCACTTCTTTATTATTTTAACAGACTTGGAACATCAGCAGAAGGGGCGGAGCTAAGAGCAAGAATGCAGAGTGCTTGCCTATTGTCAGACATGGAGTCATTTAAAGTAAGTTTGTTTCTTTCCGAATCATACATATATGATAGCTTCATTTTACTCAATTTTTCAGTATAGTAAGATCAACTGTTTTGTTGTAGTACTTTCTGTTAGTAAATGTTCATTATTACAAAAAGACAGATTATAAAAAAGCAGTTTTATATCTAATTATTTAAGAATTATTACCAAGAAATAATTTTTTGCATGTTTTCTTCACACTAAGTTTAATAGGGAGAGAATGATCACTGGTTTGATCTTGATGATGGTAATATTATGTATATTTCTTTGATAGTGCTTATGTAATAAAAAAAAAGAAATGAGCCGTGTCATGACAAAACCAACATAGTGGGTTTGCGACCAGCATGGATCCAGACCAGCCTGCGCTTCCGCGCAGTCTGATCAGGATCCACGCTGTTCGTTATCAGTTTCTCTACAGATGTGCAGGCTGGTCTGGATCCATGCTGGTTGCAAACGCATTATGTTGGTTTTGTCATGACACGGCTCAAATAGAATTTATCCTGTCTCCTTTAACTTATCAGCATGTAAAGCATAAGAATTTTATCAATCTACAATGGGCCATACGAGACCCTCTCTCCTGCAATGATTTCAAAAAAAACAACAAAAAAATAGAAAGATCCTTTTGTGTTTTATTCGGAAAATGATTCTCATAATAACGTCACCTTGTGCAGTAACAGGTTAACTCATATTAAATTATATAAGGAGTTAACCCATTACTGCACTAAGGTGACAATAAGTTTGATTTTCTTTCTTTAATGTATTCATTAGGATTTATATTTAGTTATATATTTATGCCCCCATTTCGAAGAAAAGGGGGTATATTGCTTTGCACTTGTCGGTCCGTCGGTCCGTCGGTCTGTCGGTCCGTCGGTCCGTCGGTCCGTAGACCAAATGGTTTCCGAGTGATAACTAAAGAACCCTTAGGCCTAGGAACTTCAAACTTGGTATGGTGATTGGTCATGACCAGTAGATGACCCCTATTGATTTTGGGGTCAAGGGGTCAAAGGTCAAGGTCACATTGACCTTGAAAGCAAAAACGGTTTCCGATCAATAACTAAAGAACCTTAAGGCCTAGGAACTTCAAACTTGGTATGGTGATTGGTCATGACCAGTAGATGACCCCTATTGATTTTGGGGTCAAGGGGTCAAAGGTCAAGGTCACATTGACCTTGAAAGCAAAAACGGTTTCCGATCAATAACTAAAGAACCTTAAGGCCTAGGAACTTCAAACTTGGTATGGTGATTGGTCATGATCAGTAGATGACCCCTATTGATTTTGGGGTCAAGGGGTCAACGGTCAAGGTCACATTGACCTTGTAAGCAAAAACGGTTTCCGATCAATAACTAAAGAACCTTAAGGCCTAGGAACTTCAAACTTGGTATGGTGATTGGTCATGATCAGTAGATGACCCCTATTGATTTTGGGGTCAAGGGGTCAAAGGTCAAGGTCACATTGACCTTGAAGCAAAAACGGTTTCCGATCAATAACTAAAGAACCTTAAGGCCTAGGAACTTCAAACTTGGTATGGTGATTGGTCATGATCAGTAGATGACCCCTATTGATTTTGGGGTCAAGGGGTCAAAGGTCAAGGTCACATTGACCTTGTAGGTAAAAACGGTTTCCAATCAATAACTAAAGAACCTTAAGGCCTAGGAACTTCAAACTTGGTATGGTGATTGGTTATGACCAATCAGATGACCCCTATTGATTTTGGGGTTAAGGGGTCAAAGGTCAAGGTTACATTGACCTTGTAGGTAAAAACGGTTTCCGATCAATAATGAAAGAACCCTTAGGCCTAGGGACTTCAAACTTGAGATGGTGATTGGTCATGATCAGTAGATGACCCCTATTGATTTTAGGGTCAAGGGGTCAAAGGTCAAGGTCACATTGACCTCTTAGGTAAAAACGGTTTCCGATCAATAACTTAAGAACCCTTAGGCCTAGGAACTTCAAACTTGGTATGGTGATTGGTCATGACCAGCAGATGACCCCTATTGATTTTGGGGTTAAGGGGTTAAAGGGCAAGGTCACATTGACCTTGTAGGTAAATATGCTTTCCGATCAATAACTTAAGAACCCTTATGCCTAGGAACTTCAAACTTGGTATGGTGATTGGTCATGACCAGCAGATGACCTATTGATTTTGGGGTCAAGGGGTCAAAGGTCAAGGTCACATTGACCTTGTAGGTAAAAACGGTTTCCGATCAATTAACTAAAAACGCTTAGGCCTAGGAACTTCAACCTTTGTGTGATGATTGGTCATGACCAGCAGATGACCCCTATTGAGTTTTAGGTGAAGGGGTCAAAGGTCAAGGTCACATTGACCTTGTAAGTAAAAACGGTTTCTGATCAATAACTCAAGAACACTTAGGCCTAGGAACTTCAAACTTGGTATGGTGATTTGTCATGACCAGCAGATTACTCCTATTGATTTTGGGATTAAGGGGTCAAAGGTCAAGGTCACAATGACCTTGTAAGTAAAAACGGTTTCTGATCAATAACTAAAGAACGATTCGGCCTAGGAACTTCAAACTTGGCATGGTGATTGGTCATGACCAGCAGATGACCCCTATTGATTTTGGGGTCAAAGGTCAAGGTCACATTGACCTTGTATGTTAAAACGGTTTCCGATCAATAATAAGAGAACCCTTAGGCCTAGGAACTTCAACCTAGGCATGGTGATTGGTCATGACCAGCAGATGACCCCTATTGATTTTGGGGTCAAGGGGTCAAAGGTCAAGGTCACATTGACCTTGTAGGTAAAAACGGTTTCTGATCAATTTACTAAAAACGCCTAGGCCTAGGAACTTCAAACTTTGTATGATGATTGGTCGTGACCAGCAGATGACCCCTATTGAGTTTTGGGTCAAGGGGTCAAAGGTCAAGGTCATGACCAGTAGATACTTTATAACCCTTATTAATTGTTTGATCACTGGGTCAGAAGTCATGCATAATAACCTTATCACATGACTAATTGGCTGCTGATAGGGGGCATACATGTTTTACAAACATATCTTGTTTATAGTGTCTGTTATGTAAAACTTTGTGGTAAATATTTTCAGGCTGCTAACCCAGGATGTGTGTTAGATGACTTTGTAAGATGGTATTCACCTAGAGATTGGATAGAAGAGGCAGTTGAAGATGACAATGGTGATGTCACAATTGAAGGTACATGTATTTCAACATCACCAACATGGTCACGTCATATAGATGAGAACTCAAATCTGCCTTTTCAGAGAAGTCTTTATAAATGCTCCTTCTGATATGGTGTATAATTATGTATAAGGTTCAAATTGTTTTTTTTTTAATTCAATTAATTCAATATGACTTGCATGTGATAAAATTTATGAATCGTAAGATTCATAGTAAAACTCATTGATTGCCCCCCCCCCCCCCAATAAAATATCAAGGTTAATTAGTGAATCAGGGCTGTTATCTAAATTTGGGTAAACTGCAATATGTTTGAGTCATTGTTGAAAAAATAGTCAAAGATCCTGAATGTTGTAATTGATTTTATATATATGTATATAATTATGCCTAGAAATCAATTTTCAAACATCGAAGAATATGTAAAATATGTACTGCAAATATTTGTACATATTATATGTAACTATTAAGATATATGCATTCATTTCTTATTGAAACATTTGACTTAGACTTTATAGAAAATAAAGTTTTTATTACCTCCCTTTATTTACATGAAATGTTAAATTCAGTAATATCTTTATAAATAATGCTTTTTGAAGCTTACAAAATTGGTAAATCTTAATTTGAGCATCATATCTATGATATTACAGCATAAAAAATGTGTGTTACAGGATCTTTTAAATTGTGTAAATTACTTGATTTAAATTGAGTAAACATAGATATGCTTTGTTCATTCATTGTGGTTGTATGGTAATCATTGCAGTGAAAATGTTTTATTACATGCTTTTCGGTGGTTTATAGAAATATATCAGTGAGTTAAAAACTGGTAATTTCACTGTTTGAAACAGTGAAGTTATCGATTTGATAATTTCACTGTTTTGAATATTTGAGCCCAGTACGTTGTTTCAGTGAAATACAAGCGTTCACAGTACTGGAAACCAACTTAATGACCTGACGTCGTAAATGACGTCAAGTTATATTATATTTGGCGCCCTTTTCATTTAGTACTAAAGAGTACTTATTTCTATACTTACGCAATTATATGACTACGGACAGTTACCCCCAAAAGTATTTTTTAATATTTTTGACACAAAAATTAGCCCTATTTTACTTTATGGATCAGAAATATGGGGTATACACAAGTTAGTACAGCCAGAGTTAGTGCATAACTATGCATGTAAAAGATATTTATGTGTGAAAGAAAAAACAATTAATGCAGGTGTCCTAGGTGACTGTGGGAGATTTCCTATGTTTATAAATTCTGCTAAAAGAGCTGTAAGATATTGGTGTAAAATACTTAAAATGGGTGAACACAGATTAGTTAAAAAATGCTATTTTATGCAGTTGTTTTTGGATAGTACGGGGCAAACTAACTGGTGTACTGGTATTCGTAATTTATTATGTAAAAATGGTTTTGGCTACATTTGGTATAATCAAACAGTCAATAATGAAGACTATTTCATAAATTCTTTTGTACAAAAATTAAAGGACCAATATCTACAAGAATGGCAAACAATTATAAATGATAGTTCTAAATTGTATGCGTATAGACAGTTTAAATGCAATATCGAACATGAATATTACTTAACCGTAGTGACAATTAGAAAATTCAGAAATGCTCTTGCCAAACTTCGGTTGTCCTCCCATGATTTAAGAAATTGAAAAAAGGTAGATACCAGAATATTTTAAGAGAACAAAGGATATGTAAATTATGTCACGAAGCAATTGGAAATGAATATCATTTTGTTTTAGTTTGTAAAAAATTGTCTTTGATTAGAGAAAAATACATTGACAAAAAATTCTTTAATAATCCTAATAATCATAAATTTAATGTTCTAATGTGCTCTCGCTCTGATAATGTTATAACAAATTTAGCTATGTATGCATATTATGCATTCAAAGAGAGAAATGATATATTAAGTAATACAGATACTGACAGTTAGAAATCATTAGGATATACTTACTATATTGTTGAGATCACATTCTTGGAATCATTTTCTATGTTATAACACAGATACTTAAATTTGAAATTATTATTATAAAATATTTGAGAATATGCTTATAATATCATGAATGTTACTTTTAGGTATTGTTTAGTTTGTTGTTTTCAATTTTGAATACGTTTGTACAGTGATGAGATATATGGATTTACTTTTCATTTCGGGCAATGTTGTACAAAGCTTAAGACTGATCAAAACACTATTGCCTTTTATGTTAAGGCTATAGTATGTTTTCCTTATTTTGCAATGAATAGCCATAAGTGAAGATCTTATGTTTTGTTTTTCGTTAAGATCGACACGCATTTTGGTAAATTATTCAACAATAGTTCTGTGTGTTTCAATATAAACATTATTAGGAATTACATTGATCTGTACTGACACCAGTCAAGAAATTATATGTAAATGTATATATTGTTGTAATGGGCCGGTGGCCAATATCAATAAATAAATTGTCATTGTCATTGTCATTGTCATAGTACTAAGTTAAAATGTCTTTTTAAACGTTTTTTTGCATATAATAAAAAGAAAATTTGTTTAGTTTAATGTAAGATCGAAATATATTTCACTGCGTGAACACCAAAAGTTCATATTTCACTCGTGGCTGCGCCACTCGTGAAATATACCTTTTGGTGCTCACTCGGTGAAATGTATTCCGATCTTACACTGAACTAAACAAATATCCTCTATATCATTACAGTTATATGGTAATATTGTTATCATTATGACTATATGGTTATCATTGTGGTTACATGATTATCTTTGCAGTTATATAGTCATCATTGTTACTATATGGTAGATATTGGGGTTATATGGTTATTTTTTCAGTTATAACGTAATCATTGTGATTAAATTGTAATCATTGCAGTTATATGGTTGTCATTGTGATTACATTGTATATGTTAATCATTGTGGTTATATGGTTATCATTGCATTTATATGGTAATCATTGTGGTTTTTTATTATCTTTGCAGCTATATGATCATCATTGTGATTATATGGTAAACAATGTGGTCATATGTTTATCTTTGCAGTTTAATGGTTATCATTGTGGTTATATGATAACTGAAACATACCTAAGTATCACTTTTCTAAACAATCCTGTAGTATTGTGATCTAACATTTGTACATGTAATGTCTTTTATGGCATATGGAATGATGTATTTAACTGAAATATAATAACTTGTTTCAGGTCATTTGAGCCAGCGTATGCAGATTCCTGGCAATGTATGGGTTGAGGTTTGGCAGACAGCCAGACCGGTTCCTGCTAGACGTCAGAAACGGTTGTTTGATGATACGAAAGAGGCAGAAAAGGTCCTACATTTTCTGTCATCATTAAAACCAGCAGACGTTGTAGTTCATCTGATGCCCATGTTGATACATGCTGCCCTCCTAAAAGCCATGGAGAATGGTAAAATATGTTTCTTGAATTTCCATGGAAAAAAGAAACAAATACTTGTCCAAGGCTGGCAAAATCTGATTTTGACTTACCTGTGCATTTTTATCTTATAAATGAGCAATTTTGACCTTGACCCTACGATTTTTATATATTAAATTATTAAAAAATTACCACTTGTCCATCGAGGCTGTGGGACAACCTGGACAATAAGAACTATTGATTTTGTCGCCCCTGCTTGTATAAAGAAATTTTGTCTGTCATGGACTAATATTTAAAGCCTCTATGTGTATCTATGGTAGGTGCATTACATAAAAAACAAAATTTTAGCCAAAGATAGTATGGCAAATGGTTAGCCAAAGATTTTGTGACAAATGGAAACAATAAAGAAATCATTCTTTTACACTTATGACTATATAAAATCATCCTGAAATACCATGGCATTCCCATAATGGCTACTAAGCAGTTATATGCTAACTAGCAGGAAGGATGATATGATATTGCCTTGTAAAATCAGTAAAATCTTACCTGCGAACCTGACTAGCTATTGAAATACAATATATGTTATTTTGGTTTTGGAGTGATATATGTGGATATATTACCTGTCAAGATTTTAAACTTCATAGGATGATAGATTTCATTAAGAAGAAGTGCAGTGCACAAGAACTGGTACTCTGCATTTCTTATTTTTGAGTTATTGCCCTTTGTTAATTTTCATACTTTATTTTTGTCCAGGCCTTTTCTCCTAAAGTATAAAAGCTATTCATAGGATGATAGATCAAATTAAGAAGAAGTGCAGTGCCCAAGAACTGGTACTCTGCATTTCTTATTTTTTGAGTTATTGCCCTTTGTTAATTTTCATACTTTATTTTTGTCCAGGCCATTTCTCATAAATTATAAAAGCTTTAGACTTGAAACTTAATAGGATGATAGATCTTATTGATAAGAAGTGCAGTGCACAGAAACTGCTGATCTGCATTTCTTATTTTTTGAGTTATTGCCCTTTGTGGATTTTCATTTTTGTCTTTGCCATTTCTCTTAAACTATATTGTTCACAGTATATAGGCGACACATCCGACTCGCGGAGTTCTAGTATGTCATAACTATTACTAGTCGGGGGCCACCAAAACCAGAAATTATCAGACCCAGACAGCCACAGATGTACTGTGTCAAATTTTCATATCTTTAGCTTTAAAATTCTGAAATCTGTATAGAATATGTTCAAATTGTCCGGCAGGCAATTAGGGGTCATGGCCAGATTTCCATATCAAAGTATGCAAGGACACAAAATGATGAAAGGGTAATGAATAAATGCGGTGTTAATAAAGCTAAATGATTTGCATTTGATGTCTAGTGACATACTTTTGATGTAATGAAATACAAATAATCATATAATTTTCTCATTTCATCTTTTTTGCAGAATTATAAAACTTGTATTAGTTGATTTAAGGCATACATATGGAAATATTTGTAGTTACTCATGTGCACTCTTCAATATTTCAGATGATCCTAAAATACCTGTATTGAAGCAGGTAATAGAACAAGCGTGTGTTAAAGCATCACAAGTGACCAGGTCTCCAAATCAAGATGCTAAACGTTATGAGGTAATTTTTTCCTTGATCTTTTTCACTTTGATTCTGCTTTAAAGAAGTAATAACTATTCTTTTGGTAGAGAAACCTTTATAAGTCAGCTTTTTTTGGACAGCTTGGCTTGAATTCTGTTCTTACTGTTCTTAAACAAACAGGTAAACTTGGTGAACTTTTACATTCATATTTGGCCAAATAAGCAAAATAGTTCAAAGTACACATCAATTTAAATTAAAAGTTAAGTATGCGAATGTGTAAACAGCCGAAAATCCCTTTCCTTTTGTTTGATTTTATTTGTCCATATTCACTTTATTCTTTTTATTTGATAAATATACATGTATATTCATGTGCACTTTATCTGATAAAAATATGTTCTTATGCAAGTTAAATGACAGAAATATTCCATATGCTTTTCATTTTTGATAATAAAAATATGTCCATTTGTACTTTATTTCTGATCATGGGAATATTCCATAGGCACTCTGTTTGATTAAAACATGTCCATGTACACTTTATTTCTGATCATTAAGATATGTTTTTGTGCATTTTAATTGATAACCTTATGATAATTTGCATATGCCTAAAATTTTGTAGGCCAGGACATTTGGTCATAATGGATATAGATTAGGAAACTTACACAATTTTAATAGAAATAAATTTTCTTTTATATTTTTATTTTACAGGAACTTATAAGAATGGTAATGCAGGCAGAAATTATCATCGCAAGAAACATCTCCTTGCAGTCCAAGTTCACATCGGAGCTTCTTGAACGACCTGACGCCAAAGAGGAACTCGAACATTTTGTGGCAACAATTTTACAGAACTCAGAGGTACCAGTTAGAGGAGGACCAATGGGTCCAGCAGGGAACATCATCAGCAAATTGTTCCAAGCTGCTCAAAGAGTAAGTTGTCCCATTTTTTATATATATCACAAACTTAATATATATTACTGGTATGTATTTGTGAAATATATATTGTTACATATTATGGCCAATTCTTACACTTTCATTCCTTACCCTGCAGCATTGAAGTTAAATATATAATTTTACGAACAAAATACTTATATTGATACATGAAGTTATATTAAAGATATATACTATGCTCATATTTGGGTAAAATACTTTTGCTGCAGAAATGTACTGAAATCTAGTAAATTCTTCCAGAATATGTCTAATTTGAATAAGTGAATGTATAAATCATGTTTGGGAAGCTGCATTCCCTAGTACTGGTCAACTTAATTTGGTCTTTTTGCATAAAAACTGCCAGTTTTTTATATTGACAATATGTAAGCATACTGTGATAACCTGTAGAGTGTAGAGGTTAAAATGCTACATATTTACTCTGTGTGTGTGTTCAAAAGATGTTTATTGTACATTTCAAAAGATATTATAGTATTTATCAGGTTTTTTTTCAAATATCAATTTTGAGCATAACATATCTTTAAGCAATTTTATAATCAATGTTGAAAGATATAAATATTTTGATTAATTTAAGGCTTCATACATGATACTGGATGAAGAAGATGTGGGCGAGGCTAGGATGGAAGATGATGATGATGCAAGACTTAATAGTTCAGTGCCGAATTTCCCCCGGCCTTCAGCAAGAGAGTACATACTGCGGACATTTGTGCCAAGACCAGCCCCTTATTCTAAACAGTTACCACATAGATTATTCTGTTGTATTGAGGAGGAGGAGTTTAGAATTGCTGGGGCGTTTTTTAGTGACTCAGTGTTTCAATAGTTTTAAGAATTTAGGTCTTTATATTGATAAATTATTACACGCTGTGCTGTGTTATGTCCTTAGTTATTTAAATTTTTACTTTTCTTTTTGGAATAGGTTTTACTTAAACATAATAAAAAAATAATTATACTTCTGAGAGGGATAATCCTTTCTAAAAATAGAATTGTTTTTTTTTATAGAAAGGACCACAATCCCTTGAATAACTATCAGTTGTTTGGCTGATCTTCTGGCTGATGGGCAACAGTTGTTTACATGATTTACAAAAATGTTCATCTGGGCATTAATCAAGAAGATTTAGAAATACATGTCGCTTATCTTTGTGCTTGTTAAAACATGGGCCACAATTACATGACAACTTAAACCTTGCTCGACTAATAGTTAAGAAATATTTTAGCCTGCAGACCTAAAATCTTGTGTGGAAATTGGTTGAACTCAATTGTGTTGCGTTGTCCAAATGTCAAGATCATCTTGGCATTGGCCACAAAAAAGCCTCCCTGACTAGTAACCAAAACTATTGATCATAGCTTGCTTCATTGGATATCATATAGTCAGTCTTATTAAAGGAAATAATTATGTTTAACCCCAATAATTGTTAATTTGGATACATGTAAAATGTATTAGCTATTGTGGATTGTGATTGCTAAGTATTGTGTATTTGTGTCATATACATGTACATGTTATTTATTGTTTTTGTTTGTTAACATTTGCAATTTTAAATGCTATTAAACATGATACACTGGCAAACTTTATTTTTTTTAGCTCACCTGTCACAAAGTGACAGGGTGAGCTTTTGTGATCGCTTTTCGTCCGGCGTCCGTCCGTCCGTAAACTTTTACTTTAAATGACATCTCCTCATAAACCACTAAGCCAATTTCATCCAAACTTCACAGGAATGTTCCTTTGGTGGTCACCTTTAAAAATTGTTCAAAGACTTTAATTCCATGCAAAACTCTGGTTGCCATGGCAACCGAAAGAAAAAACTTTAAATATCTTCTTTTACAAAACCATAAGAGCTAGAGCTTAGATATTTGGCATGAAACATCTTCTAGTGAGTGTCGACCAAGTTTGTTCAAATAAAAGCCCTGGGGTCAAAAATGGCCCCGCCCCGGGGGGTCATTGATTTTCCCTATATGCATATAGTAAAAACTTAAAAAATCTTCTTTTAAAGAACCCAAAGAGCTAGAGCTAAGATATTTAGCATGAAACATGTTCTAATGGGTGTCTACCAAGTTTGTTCAAATAAAAGCCCTGGGGTGAAAATTGGCCCCGCCCCGGGGGTCATTGATTTTTCCCTATATGCATATATTAAAAACTTAAAAAATCTTCTTTTAAAGAACTCAAAGAGCTAGAGCTTAGATATTTGGCATGAAACATCTTCTAGTGAGTGTCTACCAAGTTTGTTCAAATAAAAGCCCTGGGGTGAAAATTGGCCCCGCCCCGAGGGTCATTGACTTTCCCTATATGCATATAGTAAAAACTTAAAAATCTTCATTTAAAGAACTCAAAGATCTAGAGCTTAGATATTTGGCATGAAACATCTTCTAGTGTGTGTCTACCAAGTTTGTTCAAATAAAAGCCCTGAGGTCAAAATTGGCCCCGCCCCGGGGGGTCATTGATTTTCCCTATATGCATATAGTAAAAACTTAAAAAATCTTCTTTTAAAGAACCCAAAGAGCTAGAGCTAAGATATTTAGCATGAAGCATGTTCTAATGGGTGTCTACCAAGTTTGTTCAAATAAAAGCCCTGGGGTGAAAATTGGCCCCGCCCCGGGGGTCATTGACTTTCCCTATATGCATATAGTAAAAACTTAAAAATCTTCTTTTAAAGAACCCGAAGAGCTAGAGCTAAGATATTTAGCATGTAACATGTTCTAATGGGTGTCTACCAAGTTTGTTCAAATAAAAGCCCTGGGGTCAAAATTGGCCCCGCCCCGGGGGTCATTGATTTTCCCTATATGCATATATTAAAAACTTAAAAAATCTTCTTTTAAAGAACTCAAAGAGCTAGAGCTTAGATATTTGGCATGAAACATCTTCTAGTGAGTGTCTACCAAGTTTGTTCAAATAAAAGCCCTGGGGTCAAAATTGGCCCCGCCCGGGGGGTCATTGATTTTCCCTATATGCATATAGTAAAAACTTAAAAAATCTTCTTTTAAAGAACCCAAAGAGCTAGAGCTAAGATATTTAGCATGAAACATGTTCTAATGGGTGTCTACCAAGTTTGTTCAAATAAAGCCCTGGGGTGAAAATTGGCCCCGCCCCGGGGGTCATTGATTTTCCCTATATGCATATATTAAAAACTTAAAAAATCTTCTTTTAAAGAACTCAAAGAGCTAGAGCTTAGATATTTGGCATGAAACATCTTCTAGTGAGTGGTTTACCAAGTTTGTTCAAATAAAAGCCCTGGGGTCAAAATTGGCCCCGCCCCAGGGGGTCATTGATTTTCCCTATATGCATATAGTAAAAACTTAAAAAATCTTCTTTTAAAGAACCCAAAGAGCTAGAGCTAAGATATTTAGCATGAAGCATGTTCTAATGGGTGTCTACCAAGTTTGTTCAAATAAAAGCCCTGGGGTGAAAATTGGCCCCGCCCCGGGGGTCATTGACTTTCCCTATATGCATATAGTAAAAACTTAAAAATCTTCTTTTAAAGAACTCAAAGAGCTAGAGCTTAGATATATGGCATGAAACATCTTCTAGTGTGTGTCTACCAAGTTTGTTCAAATAAAAGCCCTGGGGTCAAAATTGGCCCCGCCCCGGGGGGTCATTGATTTTCCCTATATGCATATATTAAAAACTTAAAAAATCTTCTTTTAAAGAACCAAAAGAGCTAGAGCTAAGATATTTAGCAGAAAACATTTTCTAATTGATGTCTACCAAGTTTGTTCAAATAAAAGCCCTGGGGTGAAAATTGGCCCCGCCCCGGGGGGTCATTGATTTTCCCTTTATGCATATAGTAAAAACTTTAAAAATCATTCTTTTAAAGAACTCAAAGAGCTATGGCTAAAATATTGAGCATCAAACATGTTCTAATAGGTGTCTACCAAGTTTGTTCAAATACAAGCCCAGGGGTCAAAATTGGCCCCGCCCCGGGGGTCATTGATTTTCTTTATATGTGTTTAGCAAAAACTTTAAATCTTCTTTGAAAAAACCCAAATAGCTAGAGTTAAGATATTAAGCATGAAACATCTTCTAGTAAGTGTCTACAAAGTTTGTTCAAATAAAAGCCCTGGGGTCAAAACTGGCCCGGCCCCAGGGGTCTCATTGTTTTTAACTATATGTGTATAGTAAAAACTTAAAAAAAATCTTCTTTTAAAAAGCCCAATGAGCTAGAACTTAATTAAATGTTTAGCATGAAACATCTTCTTATGGGTGTCTACCAAGTTTGTGCAAATAAAAGCCCTTGGGTTAAATTGGCTCTGCAACGTTGGTGGGGGTTGGGGGGGCCTATATACAGGTGAGCGACCTCAGGGCCATCATGGCCCTCTTGTTTAATTGCTTACTACATTCTTAGTGATTTTGCAGACTGACGAACCAGTGGAATGTGGGGGAGCATCTTGTTGACTCTTTTTAGAGTTTATTAACCAGGTTTTCCGAAGGAAAAAACTGGTTATTAGATTGAGGTATGTCGGCGGGCGGATGGGCGGACGGGCGGGTGGGCGTAAACAATTTCTTCTGTGCGCAACTCCTTCTACATTTCTCAACGGATTTTGACCAAACTTTCACAGAAGCTTTGTCATCAAGTGCCCTGGCGCATATTGTCGGGGTTTTGCGATTGGATAATATTTGACCTAATTATGGCCCTTTGTTTTTTTTCCTTATATAGAATATATAGTGAACAATTTCTTCTGTGCACAACTCCTCCTACATTTCTTCAACGGATTTTGACTAAACTTTCACAGAAGCTTTGTCATCAAGTGCCCTGGGGCATATTGTAGGGGTTTTGCGATTGGATAATATTTGACCTAATTATGGCCCTTTGTTTTTTTTCCTTATAAAGAATATATAGTAAACAATTTCTTCTGTGCACAGCTCCTCCTACATTTCTCAACGGATTTTGACCAAACTTTCACAGAAGTTTTGTCATCAAGTGCCCTGGGGCATATTGTCTGGGTTTTGCGATTGGATAATATTTGAACTAATTATGGCCCTTTGTTTTATTTCCTTATAAAGAATATATAGTGAACAATTACTTCTGTGCACAACTCCTCCTACATTTCTCCACGGATTTTGACCAAACTTTTACAGAACCTTTGTCACCAAGTGCCCTGGGGCATATTGTTGGGGTTTTGTGATTGGATAATATTTGACTTAATTATTGCCCTTTGTTTTTTTTCCTTATACAGAATATATTGTGAACAATTTCTATCGTGTGCAACTTCTCCTACATTTCTCAACGGATTTTGACCAAACTTTTACAGAAGCTTTGTTATCAAGTGCCCTGGCGCATATTGTCGGGGTTTTGTGATTGGATATTATTTGACCTAATTATGGCCCTTTGTTTTTTTTTCCTTATACAGAATTATCAATATATAGTGAACAAATTCTTCTGTGCTGAACTCGTCTACATTTCTCAATGGATTTTGTTCAAACTTTCACAGAAGCTTTGTCATCAAGTGCCCTGGCACATATTGTCGGGGTTTTTGTGATTGGATAATTTTTTGACCTGATTATAGTTTGTCGGAATTTGTTAGGTGGATTGAGTGTGGCGATGAGTTTATTAATTCGAAGAATGCACAACAAAATGCAATGGCTGTATGGATTAATTGGAAGTTGCCTATGATGTGCGTGAGTTACCAACGTTTGAATGAATAATTGTTATAAGAGGTAGGTGCGCGCGGCGGGGGGTTGGGTTGGGCCCCGCCCCGCCCCCGCCCCCCCCCCCGCCCCCCCCCCCCCCAGCCTGCGCCTCTCCACCCGTGAATATGCTCCGAGTTGGCCCTTGCCCCTGGGTTTTTCTACGCTAGGCAACAAGGAATATTATAGTTAAGGGTGGAAATTCTTTTCACTAGCTGACATGTGTTGCATTTCTACTTTACATATTATATAATTAGATTTTCACATTTGGGCACATAGGTTTTACATGTGTTTGTTGCTTGTATTTGTATTTCAAATACAACATATTTATCTACAATGGTGATAATTGAAAACCTGGTTTCATGGCATTGCCATGTTTCTTGTATTTAATCATTTTTTTGTGTCGCCTTGAAAAAGGCGACGTAAAAGGGTTACTTTTGTCAGCGGTGTCAGCGTCGTTGGTGTCGGTTAAGCTTGTCCGGAGCATAAATCAGTCATGATAAGTCGGATTGACTTCAAACTTGGTATGCATGCTTCTTATAATGACCTGAAGTGCAGTGCACAAGAACCAGTACTCTGCACTTGTTAATTTTTGAGTTATTGCCCTTTGTTAATTTTCATACTTTACTTTTGTCCGGGCCATTTCTCCTAAAGTAAAAAGCTATGGACTTGAAAACTTCATAGGATGATAGATCTCATTAAGAAGAAGTGCAGTGCACAACAACTGGTACTCTGCATTTCTTATTTTTTGAGTTATTGCCCTTTGTTAATTTTAATACTTTATTTTTGTCCAGGCTATTTCTCCTAAAGTATAAAAGCTATGGACATGAAACTTCATAGGATGATAGATCTCATTAAGAAGAAGTGCAATGCACAAGAACCGCTACTCTGCATTTCTTATTTTTTGAGTTATTGCCCTTTGTTAATTTTCATACTTTATTGTCCAG